ATTCTCTGTACGTTGTTGGCTGGGGTTGGTAAAGCTTTGCTTCGACGATCGTCCACATGATGGCGTGTACGAAAGATTGCACAAGGATGATGCGGCCTGTCCAGCGGTGCAAGAAGCTGAAGCTTTGATATGGGATACCTGTCACCATGCTGAGCATAGAGTCGCGGCTACACAGAGCGATGGTCAGGGGAGTCAAGGCAAAGGCGAAAGCACCAACGCGATCGGCAAAGCCACCAATACCGCTGCGGGTGTTGTGTAAGTTGGTGCCTTTGATTGGTGTAATCCACGTCTTGTAGGTGATCCCTGTGAAACTTTGACCGTCAGCTACGTTATACCGTAAGGCTCTTTTGACTCACGAAAAGACTGTCAGATAGACGCAGAGCAGCGCCAGGATCAGGACTTGCAACCTCGTAGTGTATCTGAATACCTTCGAGCATTCAGGCATGAGATGCCGTCGTACAGTGGAAGATGTCAGCCTGACGAGACGATACAACAGGCTCTGTCTTGCACCATCTTTTCTTCGCGGTCGAACGAGTCGAGATATGAGAATCGCAAGTAGGATCGCACCAAGCACAGCCCAGAAAATGAAGGTAAAGATCATCGAGGTTTGGTGATTGCCGTAAACGGAATCAAGATACTCGCACGACCCGGCATCATTGGTGCACGGGAAGTTCCGAACCGCATAACCCCAATAGTCGATGGTATATTCGACATCGGCATCGTTTTGAATGTGGCGAGCGGCTAGCGCGTTGTCGGTGAAGTTGAAAAGCATTGTAATGAGAGGACGCAGCGCAGCTGCAAAGCAAAAAGAACAACAACAAGGAAGAAAGATATATCGTAGTCAGACACAGCAATATGGCACAACGGCCTGGGAGGAAGTCCATCTAATAAATCGAGACTGCCACCCAATTTCGCAGGTTCCACTCTGTAATTGAACCAAGGCTTGTCGTGCGTTGACAGGATGTGGGTTCCGCTGTCAGGTTCCTTCGAGGTGAACGTCCAATCGTGTCGTTTCCGTTACTGGCGCTGAAACAGGACGATACCCACCGACCCGCACTGATGGCGCCGTTCGTTTGGGAGTTCGGATCGGACGGGTATCCGGCAACAACGTCAGACTTCGATGACAGCCGCAACACACCTAGTAAATAGCATTGTTGGCGTCGTGTAGGAAACTGGGAGACAGCATGATGGAGCGCATGCGTCGCTCTAGTCACGATGGACTCTTCTCGTGGACGTCGGAAGGTAGCAACAGGCTGTTGCGCAAGAGCCATGCGCCAAGATTTTTATGCTTGTGACTTGCTTTCGACTCTTCAGCCTAAGCATCAAAGGTGTGGCACCTCATCATCGTGCAATATGGGATCTTGGAAAGCAACTGAGGCATTCCAAGGTTAGGACAGCACGAGCGCTCGAGACGCGTTCTCTCATCGCACTAACGCAAATATCATGACGTAAGCAGTCGCGTCGAGAGAGTCGCTCTGATTGGCCAGCACAGTCCACCGCGACAGAAGCCCAAAGATGCAGCTGCGGCGTGCACCACCTTCACGCCTTCATACATTCCCGAGGTCGTGGCCCAACATCCCGTCGACCACGAACGCGCATTATGTTCTCATCCATCGTGAGCCGCTTTGTCACTCCATTCGCACCGATCCGCCCGGTCTATGGCCGGGCCCCAGTCTTAGCTAAAGGCGCCTTCCCCCTCTTCTGAAAGCTCGTTGTGCTTCGGCTGTAGCAACTGCTCGTCCATATGGAGACACATACACATGATTAGAATACCATGTTCAGTGCTCCAATCCCTTCAGAGGAACTAGTAAAGCCGGAAGAACAGTAAAAGCCGCTCCAGCCAAAGAGAAGAAAGACAAACTGAATTCCACCATAAAGACACTCATCACCTTCTCAAGATCAGCTCCCGCAAGATGTCAAGAATTCGGTTTGCTAGAGCTTTTGCCGCGTCAACGTTGGGCGAGGACCTAGCTAGTTCGTCCAGCATGACGGCCGAGAATAGGAATTGAGCTGCTGTTACGAAATAAGCCCCGGAGAGGGCATTAAACACCGGCCGAGACGTTAGCCAGCGCAGCCGGGGCTGAACGAGATATCTTATGTTACTACAGTCATTGAGCAAGTCAGACTCACATACAGTGCGGAATTACGGGTAATACCTTATGTCCGGCGCGGCATATTCAGTCAGTGTCAGCTTGGCCGCCCTGTCGGAGTTAATCGGGTGAAGAAGGTGCCTGACGCGTATTGAAGCAACAATGAATATATCTATCTCATTGCCCTGGACTGGTCTAGCACAAAGATCTCATCTCAATTCGCAAACATCTCACCTTCATCTTCAACACGGAAGCAATATGTCCTTTTCGTCCGCCCCTAAGACTATCGCTGGGAAGCCTGTCGGTCCCATCGGCTATGGTCTGATGAGTGAGTTGCCATTCAAACGACGGCAATGCGCAGTCACAGTTGCTAAACATCATCTGCACAGCCCTCACGCTTTTCGGTGGCATTACTCATGACGAGGCGATCAAGCCAATGAAGGCCGCTTTGGAGAACGGTGCCACTTTTTGGAACGCTGTACGACCAGCGCCAGAAACATGGATATCAAATATCGGCTGACATCCTCGTAGGGAACCTTCTATGGGCCTCCAGATGCGAATTCTCTTCAGCTCCTGAAGCACTACTTTACCAAGTACCCGGAAGATGCATCGCGCGTTGTGCTCAGCATCAAGGGCGCTTACGATGGAGCCACTCAGTCACCGACCGCTAGTCCGGAGCAGATTCGAGCCTCCGTTGACGAGTGCCTGACCTTACTGGATGGTACCAAGTCTATCGATCTCTTCGAGCCGGCCCGTGTTGATCCCAACGTTCCCATCGAAGAGACTGTCAAGGCGCTTGCTGAGCTGGTCGAGAAGGGCAAGATTGGCTCCTATGGTCTCAGCGAGGTGAACGCTCAGACCGTCCGCCGTGCTCACGCCGTACATCGTCCCGCCGCTGTTGAGATTGAACTGAGTCTGTTTTCTCAAGGTGCTCTAGAGGAGGCAGGCGTTGTCGACACTTGCCGCGAGCTTGGCATCCCCATCGTCGGCTACAGTCCCCTCGACCGCGGCTGGCTCACCGGACAGTTCAAGACTCTCGATGATCTCCCTCAGGACGACTTCCGCCGTTTCTACCCACGCTTCCAGCCCGGCAACTTCGAGAAGAACGTCGAGCTAGCTGGTGCTGTTGAGAAAGTTGCCAAAAAGAAGGGGGTCACCAGCGCCCAAGTCGCCATTGCTTGGGTACAGCAGCAGGGTGTTTTGCCTATTCCTGGTTCTACCAAAGTGGAGCGTGTCCAGGAGAACACCAAGTACGTAGAGCTTACCGAAGCCGAGACTGAAGAGCTTCACGAAGCTCTTAGCAAGGCACATGTCTCAGGTCATCGATACCCTGAGATGTTCCAAGCTCATCTCGACAAATAGTAGGGCGGCGTGAGTAGAACAGCTCGGCCCGCCTTTGGTACGACGGGTGCCCGTTTCAGTCTTCTCGGTCGTGGAATAACAATGAACCTTCAATGTCAAACCAATTTGTGTCTTCTTCAGTTCACTGCCTTGATATACGACGCTACATTAGATCAAGATGTCAAAGGGACTTAAATCTAGGCTTTGAGGGGGTCTTCTGATACAAAAACCTCACGCGCGGACGCATTCAGCTCCAACTCTCGTTACACATCTCTTTGCGTTTAACTCATGAACGAGCACCTTGAAGTAGCACACGGCCTTCTGGCCCATCCCCACAAGGTCTAGCTACTCCTAACGCTGCCAGCTTCCTCCACTTCATCCACCATCTGCTTCGTCTGCTTTGACCAATTCTCAATCTCTTCCTTGGCAGTATAGAGCCATCTCCTAGCAACATCTTCACTGCACATTCGGTTCGATTGCTTTCCGCGAAGGGCCTGTTCGACAGCATATGCTGCGTATTTGATAGATCGCTGATGCGCACCGAGAAACTCGATAAGCTGGACTTGGTGCGCGGCTCTGGATATTTCTGAATCGAGGTCTTGGGAGGAAACCGTCGGACTAACTGCGGCTGGGGAGTTTGTTTGGCACAACGTCGCTTCTGTGGTATTTGCTTGTGGCGCTGGGCAGCGCGTTTCTGGGGTCTTGCTCTCGGTCATTTCAGCAATTGTATCGAAGAAGTGGGAGACCAGGGCGAGCTGAAGCTCAGGAGTGTTATCGCGCGTCCTTTTCGCTCGCAACGTCACTCTGATTTTGTTTACTTATCCTCAACACCTCAATTCCCGCATCTTCAATTAGCGAGCTATGATGCACCCCTCTTCAAGACGCAAACACTACACGTCAACGGTGTCCTCACATCCCGCTGCGCCAAAACGGCCGTTCGATTCTGCGTCATACTTTGACAGCACATCGTCAGCTGTGAACGGGTAATGTCCGTAGTTCGTCGCGTTGTTGCTTCTACGCAGTCACAGTTGACTTCAACCAGTGCACCTACCAAACAATACGCTTGGCCAACGGCTGAGCAAGGTACAGCCTAGCTTTTCCAACTCTTTACGCATGCAGCACAACGTTGCACGTGAAGCTCTGTGGACAGTCTCATGATGCGAGACTTTTCGCTGTTTTGGTGTAGCCGTCTTCCAAGCTGTCAGCCTTCTTGCAGCGACGGGAAGCGTGCGCAAAGCTAGCCGCTTTCAGCAACGCAACCCCACTTGTTCCACTCGTACGATCCATCACAATGCGTCATATCATGCATCTCATCACTCAACCATCCAACGCGAAGCCATCGTACTTGGTACAGAACCTCCCAACGTGATCTAGACAGGAAGTTGCGACTGCTTGATAGCCAATGTACGCGTCATGACCTGAGTACCTAACCTTGGCGGTGCTGCCCTCCGCCTATTCAAATGCTCAAGGCAGGCAGCATGCGCCAGAATTTACCTCTTGAGATCCGCTTTCGTATCAGCTCAAACCTCCGTACACACAAAGATAGTTTTGGATTAGTGAAACTCCAACATGGCGCCGCTATCCGACTACCTCAGCTTCTACACCTCCATGGCAAAGGCCATGTTTACAATCATTTTCGCACGCCTTTACACACCTCAAAGCCCTCCTCACCGCGATCTACAAGGCCAAACTGCGATAGTGACAGGTGCGAACAGCGGCATCGGTCTCTCGATCGCAACTGCGCTCGCAAAACAAGGCGCAACTGTGTATCTCGCCTGCCGCAATCTCGAAAAAGGCGATGCAGCGGTGGCTTCCATCGTTTCGCAACTCGGATCCGAGGTTAGCAAAAGGGTGTTTTGCTGGAAACTCGATGTTGGGGATCTAGAGAGTGTACGTGCGTTCTGTGAGAGGTGGAGAGAGGAGGGCAAGAAGATTGATATGCTTTGCCATAATGCTGGGATAGCGGGGACGCCTGAAGGCTCGAAGACTAAGGATGAGAAAGGCCGCGACGTGGTTCTTGTTACGAACTTCCTTGGCAGCTTCTTGATGACAAATCTGCTCGAAGGATGTCTGGGCGAGAAGGCAAGAGTCGTTTTCACGAGTAGTACTGGACACTACGCCGCCGCAGAGACAGTGATGCGCCCGAATCTGGAAGGCGTGGCATCCAAGGCCGCCGGTGATGAGGGTGGCGTTATGCAGAAGCTTCTGCACAAGACAAAAGCGTATTTTGGTATAGGAACAACTACCCTTCAATCATACGCGCTCTCGAAAGCACACCAAGTCCTCTTCGCCGCTCTCCTCCAGCGCCGCTTCGACTTCACGCCAAATAACAGACGCTCGGCACATGCATTCAGTCCCGGGTTCACGTCTACTCCTATCTTCGGCAAATTTGCCGTCTCTTGGAACACATGGCTCAGTAATCCTCTTTTCGCCGTTCTCAAAACGACGGAAAGGTATGTCGCGGTTGATACGGATGAGGGCGCAAAGACTGGAGCCTGGCTGGCGACTTGTGGTGGGGAGGAAGGGGTCGAAGGGGGATACTGGGAGTGGATGAGTAGACGGATGAGCCTTGTCGAGTTTGTGGAAAGGCAGCTTGGGGAGAAGGAGTGGAAAGTGCAATGTGAGAAGGTTTGGAGAGGATGGGAGGAGGATAGTGGCTGTACCTGGGCCACTGTCAAGACTTGATGTAGTGCTGATAGAGTTGGTCGGAGCAGAATCAGAAGTCAAGAGTGATTTGTCCCATTGATCTTCTGTCTTTCTAGTTCCCTGTCCTACCTGGACTGAGATAGTGACTTATGCCTAAAGCGTGTCAGAGGAGGGTAGGTGTTGCATTGAAAGAAAGTGAGGTCGCTAAAGAACGTAGTAGTGGCATACGACACAGCTTATAATCTCGCAAGTATGATTATCATGACCGTGATAAAAGCAGTTTATGTTGGGACTATGGACGAAGGGGGTAGCAAAAAGGGGTTGCTTAACCCCGGCCTAGAGATGTAGGTGATCAACTACATGAGCAAAGGTCTAGCAAAAATAAAATAAACATGCACAACATGTAGCTGCTCTCGGTTTCGATCCGAGGTCCTCCGGGTTATGAGCCCGGCGCGCTTCCGCTGCGCCAAGCAGCTTTTGCAGTTGCTGCTTGATGTAGATTTGAAGAATTAATACAACCATTACTGCTAGTGCGTCTATCTCAGCCCGTTCTGACCTCATAGTAGGACCATGTTCCAACGTCGAATAGAAAAAGAGTAGTTGAAAGCCGGGCTGATCCATTCACCAAGGTGACAAAGGTGGGGCGAGGTATGACTCCGATTTTGACTCCTTGCGAACACAGAAGAGTACGAAATTTCCAAGGTTACTTTGAAAGTATCTTGTACGCGTAGAAAGCGCCAAGGACGTGGAGCGTTGTACATCGCGCAAGGGGCAAATTTGTGCTCTTATGAGGACCCAGTGTATGCGAAAAGACGAGTGCAGTAAAAACAACGAACCACAAATTCAGCTCGTGACATACTTAAAGTCTGCAAGTAAGATAGCATGGTGTGGTTGATCAACGTCTGGCTGCGTGACAAAATTACTGTCAAGCATCGTGGGCAAGTCAACCGATTACATGGGACGAAAGCGAATGTGGCTAGCGGCAAAACGCGCTTGAACCCGTGGACGCGACGCGTCCCACGCACTTTAGATCTCCACCCCGTCACCCGCGTCTCCTCCAACTCCCACCATGACACCTGCCAGAACCAATGAGTAGCTATTCACCGGGCATCCCATCCTCTTTTGACCCTGCGCTACTACATTCTGAATTCGAATTCCTCGATAACGCGCCCGCGCCATCCTCGCATTCCGACGAACTAGACGCATTGCACGACTGCATCGCCGAAGACACCGCAAAGAAGAATAGTGCCGGCATCGTCATACAGCATCGCGCCTGGAACGTAGCCGACATATTCAGGAGTGAAGGAGAAGGACCAACTGGTACTTCCAGCGTGTACGCGCGCTTTAACTGGCACTAATCCCACCAGACACGCCTGCGAAGCGCCAGAAGCAGTCACCAGTCAAGCGCTTGCCGACTGAACCTTCGAAAGAAACCACGACATTCCCTTCATCGCCTCCGACTTTCGCAATGCCTCTCATCTCGTCACCCATCGCATATCCTCCGAGCTCGTCGATGCCCCAGGCGCCCTCGCCGAAGAAGAGGAAGCGCCCAGAAGACGCACGAGAGCCACTGAAGGATGTGCCAAACAACAATGCATCACGCAAGATTGGAGGCTTTCTGGACGACTCCGACGATGAAGAAGACATTGCGGCCCTGAAGGAACACACGTTGAAGCGGAGGGCTGTCAGCAGCATCAAAGATCTTCCAGCTGTTCCGGAAGGCTTAGCAGACTACACACCCCCTGCGAGCCAGGACGAGTTTGCAGACCCCGAATCGATACCGGTAAATGATCTAGACAACTACAGCTTCAAGTCACAATCACAATCGCCGGTAAAGCGGCCGCACACATCACATCAGCCAACTTCAGCACAATCCGCACCAGGCGTTCTGGCCCGTAATGCGTCGGGGAAAGCCTTTCATATAGGCAAGAAAGCCCAACGCGAGACCCAGACGTACGAAGAGATCATTGCAGCACGATCCGAACCCGTGGAAGGGAAGGCCAGGACGAGCTACTATGGTCTCAATATTCATCAGCTCATGGACGAAGCGAAGGCGCTTGATCAGGAGAAGGCCATGAACGCGTCTCTGAAGAAGCTTGACCTAGCAGCACAACCGTCGATCGAGCAGCCGGTGGCCAAGAATGGAAAGACCAATCGTACACTCATGTGGACTGAGAAGTACCGAGCGAAGAAGTTCACAGACTTAGTGGGAGACGAACGTACACATCGATCTGTATTGCGGTGGCTGAAGGCGTGGGACCCAATTGTATTCCCCGGTTCGGGCAAAGCGAAGCCCAAGAAAGCAAAGGACGGGTTCCAAGAAGACGAACAGAGACACCGCAAGATCTTGCTGCTGACTGGGCCTCCTGGGCTTGGAAAGACTACCCTAGCTCATGTCTGCGCACGACAAGCAGGCTATGAAGTGCAGGAGATCAATGCTTCGGACGAGCGTAGCGGGGCTGTCGTCAAAGGCCGCATTCGAGATATGGTGGGAACTGAGAACGTCCGCGGTGTCAATACCAGCACCGTGAACGGCAAGGTGCGAAAAGCTGGAAAGCCAGTATGCGTTGTGGTCGATGAAGTAGATGGTGTCGTTGGCAGCGGAGGCTCAGGCGAAGGTGGCTTCGTCAAGGCACTTATCGACTTGATAAATCTGGACGAGCGAAACACAAAGGCAATCGGTCAGCAGCAGTCAACAGCGGGCACCAAGAAGAAGAAGGGTGACAACTTCAGACTCTTGCGACCACTCATCCTTATCTGCAACGACCTCTACCACCCTTCGCTGCGGCCACTGCGACAGTCCTCAATGGCTGAGATTGTGCATATCCGTAAGCCTGCCCTCAACATGGTCGTCTCGCGCATGCAGGAGATCTTTGGCAAGGAAGGCATCCAATGCGATTCGGATGGTGTGCGCCGTCTCTGCGAAGCTACCTGGGGTGTCAGCACAAAGAAAGAGGGCGGGACTGGTAGTGGCACTGGCGAAGGAGACATTCGCGGGGTTATGGTGGTGGCCGAATGGATAGCAGCTCGGTTACGATCATCACACGATGTGAAGTCCAAGGAGAGGCCCCATCTATCGCGGAAGTGGATAGAAGACAACCTCATTGGCGACTTGCGACATGGTGGCGGAGCCGCTCGAAGCTTAGGAAGAGGCGGCGCGAAGGACGTTGTTGACCGTGTATTCCGTGAGGGTGCTGGCTTCCCGAAGCAAGCTGAAACGACCGATGCGAAATCCGCAGCCGCGAGGGCAAAGAGTGGTGTCATTGGTGTTGCTGAAGCAGGCAAACGTCGTGCTATGGATCGTCTTAGGGAGATGGTCGATACGAGCGGGGATTGCGATCGCATCGTGACAGGTATGTCTCACCTCATATCACGGCCTCATCAAATGCTAACACTGAACCGACTGCTTCACTGCCTATCCCGAGAAGCCGTTTCAAGACGATACTCTTCTCAGCAAACCATCTGCTGCATACGAATGGTTGTACTTCCATGACACAATCAACTCGGCTGTGCACGGATCTCAGGAATGGGAATTAGCACCATATCTGTCGAACTCTGTCCTTGCCTTCCACAACCTCTTCGCTTCGCCTATCCGATCATCTGCAAACCCCGTAGCAGACCCAGATGCACAGCCAGCACCTTTCTCAGGACCGGGTGCAAGCTTTGCAGCTTTGGAGCAGACCAAGGCTAGCAGGAGTCAGTTGATGGCGCTGCAGACAAGTCTTAGTCTACCGTTGACGCGTATGTTTCGAAGTCCAGAGGAGATGGCCATGGAGCTCATACCATACGTTTTGCGTATGTTGTCACCTGACGTAAAACCTGTGCTCGTAAACACCGGTGCATCAGGGTCAAAGTCTTTCGCCACGGCATCCGTCCGCAAAGCTTCAGAGAAAGAACTCGTCAAGAAAGCTGTAGAAGCAATGACAGCCACTGGCATTCGGTTCGAAAAGTCGCGAATCGAGACCGAAGACGTGGCGAACAGAAATGCTGGCTTCGTCTGGCGTATGGAGCCCGCATTAGACGTTCTAGCGACTTTTGAAACTCTCGTCGGCAGGAAAGACGACAAAGGGCGCTACGCAGTTCGCAGCGTCTTGGAACAAGAATGGCGCAAAGAATCCGCTCTTCGTGAACATGCCAATCGCAAGCGCCGCGGTGGTATGGATGAATACGAAGACGAGATTGAGGCTAGCAAGAAAGAAGAGAAGACGACGGAAGAGAAGGTCGCTGAAGCCAGCGAGAAGGCTGTGAAACGTGACTTCTTTGGCAGGGTGATTGTAGAAACGGATAAGAGCAGGAAGGAAGCGAAGAGGAAGCAAGACAGTGGGGAGATGCAGGGTGATGTGGGGAGGATATGGGTATCCTTTCACGAAGGATTCTCGAACGCGGTGCGGAAACCTGTCACTATTGACGACATTATGAGGGGGCTTTAGCTTTACATTACACGGCAGGCTGAGGAAATCAGCACAGGTGGATGACGATAATATACTTGTATTCGGCAAGCTCAAGCAACCCATTTAGCATTTGCAGCTCGTCCATGCGATCGGCATGGCAAGCCCGGAGACTCCGACTTCTCCACACGCCTCAATCTAATGCACAGCCGTAACGTGGTTGCCGGCGAGCTTCTTCTTCGCAGCATCAATCCTCTCCAGTTCTATCACCCGCTGCTTGTCATCCAGGTTATCAGGAAGCGTGCCAAGTGCACGATCGCCGAACAGCAGGTCAATCTCCTCAAGTGTGAGCTGCTTCGTTTCCTACAAATTCGATCAGCATGAGTTCTCCTGTCGAGTTTTTCTAGGGAAACACGTACCTTGAACACGAACCAGATAGTCGGGAACGTGACACAGAGATTGAAAGCCACAAAGATGAAGTAAAACTTGTAAGTAATCTCACCCAGCCCGATGGGCGACACCTGACTCCACACAGTTCCCACAAGCCAGTTACCAAAACCAGTTGCGAAAGCAGAACCGCGTCCACGGATACTCAGCGGGAGAATCTCACTGGCGTATACCCAAGAAATTGGACCGAAGGACATTGAGAAGATGCAAGATACCAGAAACAAGAAGAAGACGCCAGCGGCAGATAGCGAGTCTCTTCGGGATCCTGTAGCACCTTCGACCTGAGATCCGATGATCGCTTCGCAGATGAGGGCGATAGAGATACCAATGGTGCCGAAGAGAAGGGGCTTCTTGCGGCCAACGCGATCGAGGAGAAAGACGATGAAGAAGAGGTTGAACACGGGGCCGACGATGTTGTAGATGCTGGTAACGAGCAGGTTGCGGTCGCCGACAATACCGAGGTTCTCGTAGAGAATGGTGGAGTAGTAACCGATAACGTTGATACTGAGAGAATGTCAGTAAACCCAGATCGAGAATCCGACAAGAGAACGTACCCAGTCATCTGCGTAAACACCTGAACAAGCGTAGCATGCATAAGTCTCTTCCGCCACACGGGAACCGTAAACATGACCTTCCAGCCCGGCGCGGTAATCGCTTTCTCCGCATCAATAGTCAATTTGATCTCGTTGAACTCGCTTTGGATCCAGTCGTCGTTGCTACCATTGTAGTGCAACTTGCGAAGCACCTTCAGCGCTTCGTCTGCGCGGTCGATCTCTACCAGGTAACGGGGCGATTCTGGGAAGAACAGCATACCGCATATGATGATCAAGCAGGGTAGGCATTGGAAAGCGAGGGGGAAGCGCCAGGAGAAGGAGTTTGTTGCGGGTACTTTCGAGGCGCCGTAACCGATCCATGTTGAGACGATGAAACCCACGCCGATCATTTGCTGCGTGAGACCGGTGATTAGACCTGGGTCTGGTTAGTATTGGAAGGTTGAGTTGTTTTGGAAGTGCTGACCTCGCGTTTTGGGGTGGGCGCATTCGGTTTGGTAGATGGGTACGGACATGGACATTAGACCTACTGCCCATCCAGCCAAGATTCGTCCGACGAGTATCATAGCGAGGTCCTGGGCGGCGCATTGGAGTATAGCTCCGATCAGGTTTATCAAAGCTCCGATCATGATTGTCTTCCTGCGACCGAACCTATCCATCGTGAACCCTCCCCTACTATGCGTCAGTACATGCCAGCTTCTCTACACAAGAGACATCCACGTACATCAGCGAACCGAAAAATGCTCCACCTGAAAACGTCGCATTGATGGCTCCTATAATCGGCGATGTCTTCTCTGTGTCGAAGAAGGCGAGGAAGTTGGGTGATTGGATGACAATGGTCATTACTCCAGAGTCATATCCGAAGAGGAAGCTGCCCGTGCCAGCGAAGACGGCAAGGGCAATGTTGAAGATGAGACCCATGGTTGCTACCTTGGCCGATCAGATCAGCGATGCTTGCACGAAAGACTGGAACTTGTGGGTGACAGTCCTTTTCAACGCGCTGTCGCTGCAGGTATATATTGCCCCGGGCAACTGGGTGCCCACGCCATCGACGCATGCTGGTCATGTTACATCTTCAGGCCAGCCTCGCGTAACAAGCATTCAACCGGAAGATCGCGCCTAGTTTCCACGGTGCGATCCCGCATAGACTTTGAACATGTCTGCTGGCGGACAAGTATTTGCTGATCTTGCTGCCATAAAACCCGGGGAACAAGTGGAAGGATGTTGGGGTACAGTAGCGTGCGGGGAGGCATGTTGAATTTCCGCCAATGAATGAAGCCCCCACTAGCTCGCTTCGCTGATGTAGGACCGTTGCAGCGGCTCTGCTTTGCGCTCATGGCCGTTGAGACTGGCTGTGAACAAGTGCGGGATACATGACCCCTCATGATGGCCGGAATGCCAGCCTATCCTAGCTTCGAGACCTTCCACTCTCCGCCTAGAAGGTCCATACCTTTGAGCTCACCATCAGCGCTGACCTCTAATACACCCTTCTGGACGCCCTTGGTATCCACCAAAGTCGCTCTGTCACCTTCCTTCACACCATAAAGTCTAACCTCACCACCGGTAGCGAGCCAGTCATAACCAAAGCCGCCTTCGCCCTCTGCTTGCCCGAGCACGAGAACGGTGCCTTCCCTAACAAACAACGGTAATTGGAGGAAGCTATACTTCTCTTTGATCCACCGGCCGCCCTGCATTTCTTTACCGTCCCAGAAGCTGAACCAACGACCTGGTGGCAGGTAGTAATCAACGCTACCGTCTTCCTCGAAGACCGGGGCGGCGAGGATCTGACTGCCAACAAAGAATTGGCGGTCCACATACCAGGATGTTGGGTCATCTGGAAACTCTAGAGCCGTCGCGCGGACGCTGGTAGGCCATCCATTAGCAACGCTCTCTTCTGCCTGCGCGAAGAGATATGGCATGAGGCTGCGCTTGAGCTGCACCCAGTGTCGGAGGACCTCAGTGCAGTTTTCGGGCTCTTCCGATGAATCGTCGACTAGCCATGGCACGCGATATGAGTTCGAGCCATGGAGTCGGCTATGCGAGTTGAGCAGTCCAAATGCAACCCATCGCTTATAGATCCAGGGTGGCGGTTTGCCTTCAAAGCCACCAATGTCGCTCGTCCAGAACGCGAAGGATGCGAGCCCAAGGCTCAGGCCACCACGCACTGACTCAGAAAGCGCAGCGGGTGTTGACTCGCAGTCGCCGCCCCAATGAAGTGGAAAGCGTTGCGATCCTGCGCATGCTGTGCGCGCGAACAGTATGGCTTCGTGCTCACCCTCCCGCTTTTGTACTGCTTCGTAGACAAGTTTGTTGTAGATGAAGGCGTAGTAGTTGTGCATGCGGCTTGGATCCACGCTCTTGTCGTGCCATTGGACGTTCTTCGTTGGTATGCGCTCACCAAAGTCCGTTTTGATGGAGCTGACACCCACGTCGAAGAGCTTCTCCATGCACTCGCGGAACCAGTCGCAAGCCTCGGGATTTGTAAAGTCTACAATACCCATGCCAGTCTGCCAGAGGTCCCACTGCCACACATCTCCGTTCGTCTTCTTGAGCAAGTAACCTCTATCAGCCGCATATTTGAACACAGGACTTGCTTGGCCGATGTAAGGATTAGTCCAGACACTGACTTTGTTGATGAGTCCATCATCTTTCATGCGCTTGATCTGACCAGCAGGGTCGGAGAAGCTCTCTGGATCCCAGATAAAGTCGCACCAGTGAAAAGCGCGCAGCCAAAAGCAGTCGAAATGGAATACTTCGACTGGTATCTTGGAATCTGACATCTTTTCAACGAAGTGGCGGACGGTCTGCTCATCGTAGGAAGTCGTAAATGATGTGCTGAGCCAGAGGCCGTATGACCACGCCGGAACCCTATTCGACTTGCCAGTAAGAATGGAGTACTTGGTCAGTACCTCTTTGGGACTTGGTCCATAGATGAGATACCTTGGGAGGTTAGCAAGGAGATCAATCGAGCTACTCGCGATGCTCACCATTTCAAGCGTTGCCCTTCAACTGTAGTCTGCAATCTTGAGCATCTTTCGCTACCAATCTCCATATCAATCTTATCGGGTGTGTCGATAAAGACACCGTAGCCCCTTGAGCTGAGCCAGAACGATACGTTCTTGTAAGCTTGCTCGCTAGACGTACCTCCGTCTTCGTTCCAAACTTCAACATTTTGACCAATCTTGTTCCATGCACCAAAACGTTCACCTAGTCCGTGAATAGTCTCGCCGACACTAAGCTCGGTCTGAGTGAACATGTAATGTTTATGTGCAGCCAGATCCTCCACACTCTTGGGCGTGCTAAGGGCGGGTGAGTACGCTAGTCCGACGCTCCGGTGGAGAAGAGAAGTCAATGTTTTCGATCCGTCAGTGGCATGGAATTTGATGTCGAAGTTATGCTCATCAGAGCTAATGGTCGCGCTTAGTCCCCCTGAAGTGACAGTAGTCCCTTTCTTTTGCTTCAGGATGTCGCCTTTGCACTCCGGCTTGCCTGCCGGGTACAAGTCAAAGTCTGGTCCCATTCGCCTTGCACCAGCGAAGTGCGTCGCTTCGAGAGAGATGACGCCGTCGAACTGGGCTTCGATCTCGACGGAGATGGTGCTCAGATTCAAGGTATCGCCTCTAGTGAAGATCTTCCTGCTTGGACATAACAAAGTGACCGCCTTGTTGTCTTCCCGAGGCGTGACAGTATAGACTTCTTCGGCATGCTGAACTGTGAACTGGTCATTGACCAGCCACATACCTGTACGATCATTAGCGGCAACATTTCACAGGCTGCGAGGCTCATACCATCACGAAACTTCATGTTTGCGTCGTCTTCGAATGTAGGTGCTCACGACAAAGTATAGGACAGTCCGACGATGATGTCGTGATTGACGTCTGATGTTCTTCTCTCGACATTCCATACTACCAAGAACCATATTGGCGTTCGGATATGCGGTCCGTCCCGTTGGCGATGCTTGGAGCATACGGTTCTGTATGGACGGACACTTCGGTGTCAGATTGCCCGACGCTCCTTGCGCTGCGGGGTACCGCTCGAGACGCTGCAATGATCAACATTGCTATGCGAAAATCAAAAATCCCGCTCGCAAAAGGCCATCGCCTCAGAGAACTGGTTCCGAGTGAGCACCGATCTTGTTATTAGCCGACTTCTCGAACATACAAGGGTCATGGAGCTTTTGCCCTTGCCAGCTATAAGGACTCCGGTCCTGCAGCGCTTACACGGCACTTTCTTGACCATCACCTGAGCATGCCCATGAACAGTGCGCGTCGGGATAGTTTCCCTCACTGATTCGTGTGCAGACTCAAAAAGACAGTTCCGACGATACCTTCTGCAAGGGGTGTTGTAGTTCACGTGAAGGGGTAGTCGCGACGCCCCGCATCCACAACCAGCCACTGAGATGACGGGAGGGCGTTTCACCAGTGTGGCATCCCGCGCACTTCCTTGGTATACCTATTGCCTTACGCGGCACAGTGTGAAAGCTGCACGTATATCAACAGCCACACTTCAGCATTGGAAGTCGCAAGTAAGGGGAACATCGCAAAGCGAATGAGGACGGGACCCTGCTGCCGGAAATGGCTCCGGCGCGAAACGTTGTCCACCGACCCACAACCCACCCTTCCCAACAGGGCGCAACGTTGTCGCAATCGCCGAATTCGTCTTGTTATCCGTGCAAGGCTTCGACACGGTCAAGGTGTGTTGTAGTCCCACCCATAGGGCATCGTTGTCCATTGAAGATAAGCAGATCTCATCTAGCTCCTGAGAAGCCGTGTGTGATTTGTTGACTCGGACAAGCCCCAAGCCGGTTCTTCTCTGCCATAAACTTCAGCTTTTCTATTGTCCACAGCATTCTACTACCACACGCACCTTAACCTCTTTCTGTCATAACTTTCGAATCGAAAAGCAAAGATTTGCTGCCGACACTACGCACCGACACCATGACGGTATCAGTTCTTTGTTTCTACTCCCGTCGCCCAGAAGTCACCCCGGAGCATTTCCAGTCATACATGGAGGAAACCCATCTGCCTTTGATCAAGGAGGTCTTCGAGATGCATCCCCCGCAGTCGTACAGGTTGCGCTATGTAATACGCGTCAAGACCGGGGCCGGGGACCGACTGGGCGCTGTCACATCAAGCAGAGCAAAAGCGGATCCAGATGCGCCAGTTGTACTTGTCGGGTCTCCTCAAGATATGGATTGGGATGCAGTAGGAGAGATGGTGTTTCGGGATGAGCTGCACATCCAGCAGTGTCTGTCCATAATGAACGGCCCCGGTGGGCAGCGAATAAAAGAGGACGAGGAAACTATTGCGATACCGGAGAAGACCCGGGTAATATTAACGGCTGGGGACAACCTTTTCATCTGAGCCGGGCACGCGCAGGCGCACTTCAAGGGAGGACAGTACAATCTAAGGTACGTCTTCGAGACAGTTCTGTTTGCGAATACACTGACATCGATAAATCAGGGTAGATCGACGAGCGAGAGGACAAACGCCACCGGGTGGCGTCCGAGGAGTAAGGGGTCCTCCAAAAGCATAGAAATTCATCGAGACCGAGACCGCACAATGTTCTCGTTTGTGCCATCTGCGTGGGAAAAGTGTACGACAACTGGGACGCCGACGGAGAGGCATATGCGATACCATAGACAGTTGCAGTCTGATAGAGAATGACTATTGATTTCGAAAGCCAGGGAGTTCCAAATGAGCTACGTTTGCTACACTTGTCGACGGCTGGCTGTTCCGGGGGTCTGAACGACACGCCATCAAGGCGCTTGACGAAACTTTGCGACGCGTCGGGATCTGCACGCCCAGCGACGCGTACGCGGAAGCTCAACATAACGATCGAAGCTTCCAGATTGTGAGAAGCGAGATCAGATCATTGGCGTGTACAACAGAACAGGCGGACAGTATGGTGCGAGGATGAATGCAGGAGGGGTCAATGAGCGGACTTGAACAGTCGATGTTGTAGCGACAGTACCTAGGGAAGTGCAGAACACGCTAAGTCACATCACGTGACTCTGTCGTCATCGATCAATTTACTGTGGCCCAGCGCAGCGCAGCCGCTTCTTACAGAGAAGTTCCTTCCACAGCTTCAAGAGACCGACAACGGAGTTTGCATGCAAGGTCAACACACGAGTGCAACCTGCATTGGATCCAGAATTCCCGCGTTGCACCGAGTGCTGAGAGGCTAGGCGTACACAAGCCTTTCAGGGCTGTCGCAGATTGGATACCCCCAGGGCTACTATCCATTACTGCAGATTCACCGCCTCCGACAGCCGTGTATAATGGAAAGCCTATTACTTTAAGTTTTGCTACTGCTGCTAGGTGCTTCGCAAGCCAGCTACGACGCTCCAGGTCGTTACGCCATTACCTAGGTCTCCCGTTACGGAACGGCTCGGTTTCTCTCCGTGGGTCTTTTTCCGAACCAATATGATAACGTTTCAATACACAGTGGATATCGCAACAGCGCAATATGGTCATCGGCAACATCTTTGCGAAGCCAGCATTATATGCCAGATTACTAAATGGCGCTGCTTTGAGGTAGGTCACAGCATGCACATGAGTAATGTGCGTTTTCATTGCCACAACGCACACTAGCAATGCCCATCAAACCCGAGGGCTCCATTTGCTGTAACCCGATATCTTCAGGCCTCACTCAATTCGCCAAGGTGTCCCGCACGCAGGTTTTGCTCGCGCACCCACACGCATGACATGGCTAGGCTGATTCTCCTTCCCTTGTCTCACCGCAAGGTCGTGATTGGCGAGGAACGGGATCGGACCGTAACCACGACTCAGCAGTCGAGACCTCTCTGGCCAAAGACGATCATGGGATGGCACCGGTCAGCGGCGCGCAGATATTGAAGAAAATCTTCGCAATACCTTGCATCCAATAACGAGACTACGGAGCCGCGCAAACTCTGGGTCATGATGGGTCTCAGGATAAAGGGGAAGTGTGGTTTCAGTGGATGTAACCTCTCCATATACTGAGCTATCTAAGGCGAACGCCTATACATGATCCAGGGTCCAAGAACTATCGGACCAGCAGATACGCTAATTCGCCGGCATTCAACGGCGAGTCTATCGGGGAAGCTGGGTCGCTGCAGGCATCGTATTCGGCCCTGTAAGCCCGGACTGCTCTGATGGGACGACGTTCGACTCCGGTATAGTGATCAAGTACGAAGGAGGCAGACCAAATTAGGCATGGATCCTAATTCTCGACGTCGTTCGCGGTGCCCATCACTCCTTCTAGACTTTTCTCGGTACTTTCCCACTCCCTCCTCACCGCATCCAACACCCATGGTCCTCGAGGCTTCAGACGGAACCTAAATGGCCTTGGCTCAGTCATGAAGCCAACGACTATCATTTGCCATGGATCCACCTCTTCTCCCTGTATGGCTTCCACATCAAACGCCCATAGCAGATTTGCGATATTCATGAATGTTCCGTCAGTAGCGACACGCTTTCCTTGACATATCCTTCGACCTTGGCCAAACACAGGGAGTGGCAGATCACCGCGGACCTTCCCATCACGCAACCAGCGCTCAGGAACAAATTCCTGTGCATCACCAAGCGAAGGATCGAAGACTGCCTCGTCGCGGCCGATGGCCCACGCGTTCGCCATGATGGTCACACCCTTGGCAATCTTCACGCCAGCGAACTCATCCGCGCGATCAGCACGGCGCGGAATAGAACCAGGAGATATGGGTCGCCATCTGAATAATTCATGTGCTATAGCGTCAACGTAGGCGAGGTTGTGACGGTCCGAGAATGTAGGGAGACGCTCTCTGCCAACGACTCTGTCTAGTAGTTCATGCGCACGGGTCATGATCTCCGGATTGTGCATTGCTGCGACGAAGAGCCAGAGAATCTGACGAGGGGACGTTTCCATACCACCCTGAATAGATGTCGCGAGTGTGAAGGCAAGGTCAAGATCGGATACTGGCGAGTCGGTAGGAGCATATTTCGGTGCGGATGCGATTGCTTGCTTTGTCGCATTCCAGCCTGGCGCATCTCTACCATGGTGGAAGAGGCGCATGTAGAGCTTGACCTGAGCCGCGTAAAGCTTGTCAGCATACTGCTGCCACGGGGAGATGAAAGTAGGCAAGTGTCGAAGGACTGGCATAAGATCCGGGAGCTGCGGATTCGCGGCCAGATGTGTGACCTTCGCTTGAATTGCAATGACTTCATGCAGGATTGGCTCTTCGAACTTGGGTATGCGGAGACCGTAATGGAGGGCAAGGATGACACTGGACTGGGTCCGCTCGAGCAGAGGATATATCGTCTTCGTGGTGATTGTGGAATCATCTTTGGACTTCTCCAAAGCAGCGATGAGATCGAAGAGCAGTTGCTTAGCCTCGAGTTCCATAAGAGGTTGATACTTGCTTGCCGCCGGCGCACCAAGACTTGGTGAAAGAATGCGGTGGTGTAGTTTAAGGTGATCGTCATAGTCGTGCATCAGCGTAAATCGAGAACGACCTGGCCCAGCCCCAGTAATCATCTCCATGCTCACTGAGGCCGGTCGGTTGCTGTACCATTGGCTACGACGACTGAAGAGTTCAGTGACGGCCTCGTACGAGTTGAGCACGACAATGGGCACAATTCCAAACAGCTTGGGAACCGTAATCGGGCCGTGTTGTTTCGACCAAGCGCTCCAGTTTACCAGTGGTTTCTCGATTGGCGAGCTATGGAGATCACCAATGAGGGGCAGCTTGAGGAGGGGCTTCTCGGATGCATCTTTGCTCTTGTTGGTGTAAAGGTAAAGTGCGGTAAGGGCACTCACGGCCAGAAGGACGGTCACGACAAGGCTGGACATGGCTGAAGGAACCCACGAAAGCTGTGGGCGACACAACCACTTGTAGGTGTCCAGAATGGCGGATACGTGCATGCACGGCATTACTCAAGTGGATTGTTCCTGGAGCCATGTCCAAAACGAGTTAGCCCAGCCGGCACTTGGCAACAACGGCCACCTTTCGCGTATGAAGCCCCGAAATCGTGATAACAGCTTGTTCGGATCTGGACGGCAGTGTCTCGGCGCCATGCCCTCGTATTGCGCGTGATGGGCTCTTCTTCTTGCGACTAGACTCCCATCACAGCTGCCGCCATCACTGACGTGATCAAAATCGGAAGACCCGAAACGTTCCCCGGACAGCATCGCATTACACATCAACCAAGCGCTGCGTGCGCGCGTGGGCTGAGAGGCTCTGATATAGATCTGCTCGGGTATGCATGGCGAAACCGTTCGCGTCGCGGCACACGCTTTATCCGGATTTTACACGGTAGCCCGCCCTCCCCAGGGCCTGAAGCGTAGTGGGCAAGCTCGGATGGGAGAACCTGCATGCGCAGGTCTTGTACAAGAGGAAAGGCAGGTCACGCGTCCTATCAGCAACGAGAATACGACACCGCACAGAATATGCCCCAAAGCCTAGCCGGATGGGGCCGCTGTCACGGTTTTAGTGCCGTGGGCCCAGTCGGGGTGAACGCCTGAGCCGGCACGTCGGGTGAGGAACGGCTCTTCAGGCCTGCGAAGGATTTCTTGTTGGAATCCTAAGCCAAGGGGTATCTTGATCAGCGCGGGAAAAGACATGGGGTGCGCAAACAGAAATGCGAGGCTTCGCACGGGGAAGTCGGCAGCTCATATGCCCAGCTCCTCCCCAAGATCGATCTTCCCGCGGTGGACCAGCTTGTTTATACACCTCCGAGCCTGCGACGATACAGACGTCGGCGCGTGAGTCGCACACCAGAGTACTACATCGGGATCTGCACGACAACATGACCACCACATTTCCTATTCGAACTCATGACCAGAGAGCAGTACTGGGTGTCGCATTCAGCTTCTCAATTCTTGCTGCACTGGCCGTCGCCCTACGACTGATCGCTCACGCGATTGCTCACAAAAGATGGACAATTGCCGACTACTTCATCATTGCCGCCTGTGTAAGAAATTCAGCTCCGGATATCGCCAACACTACTAACACTTTGCAGATTTTCGCTATCGGCCTGCAATCTATCAGTATTACCGGAGTCTTTCATGCCGGCATTGGCTACGATCACGTCCAGAACATCGTAGTAGCGTACGGCCTCGAACCTATCACCAAGCTCTCGCAGCTCATCATACCCCTGCAGTTTCTGTGGGTTCTGAGTCTTAGCTGTACCAAGATTTCTATTCTGTCTCTGTATATTCTGATCTTTCCGATCCGATGGGTGGTCTGGAGCTCCTACGTGACCATGGTCATCATCGTTGCTTGGACAATCGCAACCATCCTCGCTGGCTGTCTGATTTGCCGGCCCTTCGCCTACAATTGGGATAAATCGATTCCTGGAGGAAGCTGTGGCGATCAAGTCACCTCATTCACGATTACCGGAGTCATCAACTTGGTCACCGACGTCATGGTGCTTCTTCTGCCCATGCGTCCGTTATATCAACTGCAAATGGCGACGTACAAAAGAGTGACTCTCGTCGCCGTTTTTGGCCTGGGTACTTTGTGAGTCGAATTGAGATGCTGTCGTCAGCTCTGATCTAACCGGAGCAGTACCTGTATCGTCAGCGCCTTTCGCATCTCCGTCCTATCCAGCATGGACTTTACCGATATCACCTATACGATCCCCAAAGCCAATATCTTCAGTGGCCTGGAGCCATGCCTCGCCGTAGTCCTCGCATGCGTGCCTCTGATGCATCCACTTCTCGGTCGCTCCGCAGCAACACCTCACGCGTCAGGGAAAAAGAAGTCCTCGAATGCTGAGTCAAAGTCCAGTGGGCCGAAAGCTGTCAGCGACGACGGGTTCGAGCGGCTAGACGATGATACGAGTCACCTGTGGCTCAAACCGATGGGGCTGCAGCATCGCGCTGATGAATCGGATTTGCAGGAGACCATAACAGGAGATGCAAGCGAAGGAGATCAGGAGTCTCTTCATGGGCATCGGGGGAACATCGGTATAGCTACTTGAGCTGTTGGCTCTCTTAGATCCTAGTAACGATCACACGACCTGAGGAATAATCATAAACGAGTCCCGCTATTCACTGCTATCTCTTGCTAGTGCCACCAAGCCTTATTGCCAGTAGGTAATGCGAACTTGAGTCTGAAGACAGTCGCGAAGGTCGATCCAACGCTGGACAGGAAATTTCGGAGGTAGCTGGACAGTCGGTTGCGCAGATCCTATGTTCGTATGCTGACCATGGGGCTAAATCAAGCGGCTGTACACATCACTCCGGCGGTAGCATCTAATAGATCCAGTAGTAATCAGCTTTTGCAAGGAAAAGTAGAGAACGTCGAGAGGAAGCGACCAGTGTGAAGATCTTGGCGTTATTATGGCCCGTGCTTGCCACCCGTCCCCAGTTTCTTGTCGCGCGTCATTCACGCGTCGGATATTGCTGCTTCCATGCCATCAACATTACTTGTCGACCGCAATACTCCTACTTTCCGACATCGACGAGTATCTTGATATGTTTATCCTTCTCGTATAGCAGCGCGAGGATACCATCTTCCACCACTCTATCCATCGAGATTGTGCGCGTGATCATCTTCTTCGCATCGATCGCTCCTTTATCCAGCGCGTCAATAACTCGCTCGAAATCCTCACTGGTGTAACTCAGCGCTCGGAACAAGTCAGCAAGGCTTCGAATCATTCCAATGGTTTCGCGTGATGGCTTACCTGTAACCAGCCTCTTTTCGCCAACCAACAGATTGTCTGGGTTGAAGGGCATCTCTTTGCCCCACTGGGCAACATTCACCACCGTTCCCCTGCTTCGAACTGATAGACACGCGGACTTGATACTGGCAGCTACTCCAGCGCAGTCAAAAGCAACGTCAGGGCCTTGGTCATTGCACAGCATCTTGCATCTGGAGACCATGTCTTCGTCCGTCGGATCGATCGCCGCTGTAGCTCCAAAGTGTAGAGCTAAGTTCCTTCGATTCTGAGCAACTTCTGCAACGATCACCTGGGCAGTATCCAAGGCTTTCAGGCATTGGAGAATGGCTAAACCAATCGGGCCAGCGCCGATAACCAAGATGTTGTCCCCTGCTTTGGCGGCCGACTGTTCGACAGCATGCCAGGCAACTGCAAGCGGTTCAACCAAAGCTACGCCAATCTGTCAGTGTCCTTCCCTACCTCAAGTGAGCTTCCCGACTGTCTTACCTCCAATTTCTGACGTTATCTTCTCAGGCAGTTTGAACACGAACTGCGCATCTACGCACACCCGATCCGATAACCCACCTCCCCAACCCATGATTCCCACGAACCCAAACGAATCGCAACAATTGGTAAAGCCACCTTTGCACGAAACGCATTGCTCGCAGCAAATGGTAGGCTGGACGGCCACTCTGTCTCCAACCTTGAGACCTTTGCGCACCTGCGCTCCGACCTCGACGATGTCCCCAGAGAACTCATGCCCGAGAGTTACAGGCCATGTCTCGCCGGTGATCGGATGAGGCGTGTCTTTGAAAGGAAGAGCATCCGGTATGCAGTAGAAGTGCAGGTCGGACCCGCAGATCCCACAAAAGGAAGGTCGAATCTTCACTTGATGGGCATCACATACCGGCTCTGGAACGTCGTGTTCCAGACGCATGTCCTCGGCCCCATAGTAGCGAAGAGCCCGCATATTGGTGGTTCGAAAGGGTTGGACGACGCAGTCTGAAGTGGTTCAATTTCGTGGTTGAGTATCGCTTACAGACAAGTGGATGGATTGCACGAAAGCAGTTGTAAGTTCATAGTCCAATGTACATGCTAATCTTGTAGCTTTATACTGAGGCTTATGTGCTAAGGAAAGAGGGGTACCAGCCGACGTCACGCAAGATGCGTGTCAGCCCTAGAGACTCATGCGCAAAACGCGCCAATGCTAGACATGTCAGAATCACTGCATATTACCCCAAGCGGAAGGAAGTTGCGTCGCAGAACTGATGTTATCCCATTTCGACCGTGTATTGACGTTCTATCTTTGGGAAACAGTATTGCTCAAGGCGAATTTACATCTTGACTATATCCGCCTTCACATGAATTCCTAACGAGGCGGCAATCAGGTATAATCTCAGATCACTTACACATAAAATTCCGATAAGCAGATCAACTTCTGTCTTGATCACACTGCGCCCCCGGACCTTCGAAATAAGCTAACACAGCATCGATATCCCCGACCGTGAACTCACGGCCACCAGGATACGCATGAGTCCGTGCCCATCGCGCCGCACGAGCGAGCTCGCCCCAATCCTTCGGATCTTGCGCCTCCGGACAATCCAGCAAAGGCATGCCAGGATGATAATTAAAGCGGGGTACAAGCGACGTCGACGCCAATCGTTCCACGTCGCTGTAGTCAAAGGTCTGGTTTGCTGCCATGAGTGCATCAACTTGCCCTGCTGCTTCCTGGGGATCGAGGTATAGCCAAGAGTCGGGGAAAGCGTTGTCGTCTTGTACATAGCCTTCGGGTATGCAAATATCGGGGATGGCGGGCAAGTCCACCTGGGCTGGCTGAGAAGCCTGGTACACGAGCTCTGATGCTACTGCTGCAGCGGCGTCTTGCGACCTCGATCGTACTGGGTGCGCTTGGAATGCGTGGCTATAGCTGTGCTCATTGAATTTCAACCCGTTGTACTCTTGGGGTTGTGACTGCATCTGCGGAGGCCACTGGAGTAGATCTTGGGAGTTGGCTTCCATCGTCGGTGGATGCTGTACAGCATTCGGCATTAAAACGCCCATTCCCGTCGGAGGCATGCTGCTGTACCCTTCGTCCCAGGACGAGAAGCCGACCATTGGCTGCATTTGCTGTTGAGCCAGTGGATCCATCGGAAAGGCTCCTCCAAGCGGCGAAGGCTGCCCAGGATAGAAACAGGGAACGGACTGAGCAGCCTCCTCCTCGGCAGCCTGTCGCTGGCGCCGCTGTTCATTCAGCTGCTTACGACGCTCACTTTCTGCCACTCGAACCGCTTCGGAGTACCGACTTATGACAGCCTCATCGTAACGATCTCGGGTAGTTTCAGTGGGACCAATGCATCTGAGAATGAGCTGGATATCATCCGGGAACATAAAGTCCGTCAGCTGGCCGTGCTCATCAAGCTTCTGGTACTGTAGCGCGAATACCAATGCGCGAGTAAGATCACCCATGTCGTCATCCACGGGCAGACTCTTCAGACCAATCGCTAAGTTCTTGAATGGTATTGACGGCGGTGGAACATAATCAGCTTTCTTTGCAGCCTCCGGGAGGAAATTGTTGATGCACATCACCGACTTGTCCCAGTTACCCGGGACGTGATGCTTCGCCTTGGTCCAGGTTGGGTAGATTCTGCGCATCGTCTTTCGATACGTGTCCGAGATGTGGTCACGGGCGCGCTCTCCTTCCTCGGAACTGGTCAAGCCGAGGTGACGATGCTTGTCCAGAATTGCAAAGTGTACTGCAGCAGTGATGCCGTTACACAACATGCGCCATGCGACAGCAGGATTGCGGAACCATTGTGGGAGTATTACGATAAGATCCACGAGAGTTGCATTGATCGGTCCACCATTAGGCAGCTGATACTCGTGGGCCGGAATGTCAACCAGGAATTGAGCGCGAGGCTTTCCTCTCGCTGGAGCTTTCAGCACTGCTGTGTCATCACCCTTCTTTCTAGGGAGTTGATGTGGCGCAGGCGAACCTCCAGGGCCCGCTTGCATTGAGTTTCCGTGTGGTGATGGCGTGTAGCGTGGATCAGGCTCCGTGAAACTCATACTATCTTCGGGATAGTTACAGTCGATTCTAGTAGATTCTAGCGAGAGTGGTGGTAAGTTGCGAGGTGGTGGGTCTGTGCCAAGGGCAGAGTAGGGCGGTTGATATACTTGAGGCGCAACAGCAAGCAGAGTGAATACGAAGAGAGTAAACTAAGTTTCACTGACCGTTGCGGTGAAGCCTATTCTACCATGGCTTCGTATCCCTTAGTATGTTCGATAAGAGAGTTTCATTCCTGCGCCGAAAGTCGTCGCCTTGAAAGAACTGAAGAACGAGGACATTCTGAAGGAAGTGAATATGATCTGGCTTTCATGCTGATATCGTACAGTATCTCCAAGACTTTCTGAATGTGCCATGATTAAAGGCGTACCAATGCTGGACTCAGAGGACTAGCAGCTTCAAAAGCCCTTTGAGCTCGGAAAATATCCCGGCGGATAGTTCCAAACTTCCTTGATGCCAGCATAACTCGGGAAGTTTCCACCTTCAACAGGATTATCTTGAGTCAAATCGATAACCTCCACAGTCGTAGCTGCCAGCTTCACCTTCTTGCGTCTCTTATCTTGCTCGAATCTGCTGTTTCCCAAGAGCCGCTCCTTTTTCCTAATCCTTCTCTCTTTTGCCAGACGTTGAGAAAGCACGCCTTCTGGCTCGTGGTATTGATCCCAGTGGCACAGATGGACTAACTCCGTTTCCCACGTGTGACTCATTAGATCGACGTTCGCAGGCCGGTTGAGAAGGAGCAGAGGTCGAGATGGGCCAAAGTTTTCTGGCACGACTTCCCACTCGTTACGCCAGACTCTAGTGGTGACAGCATCTTCGTACGCCGCAGCCTGCGCATTCATCGCAACATTCTCATGAAAGTAGGGCGCCAGCGGAATTCGTCTTTGTTGTGTAGGAATGATCGGCGCTATATGAGGTGGATCGGGTGGCGGGGTGCCGTTGAAGTAGCCGTGGAAGTGAGTCTTCTGCTGGTAGCTGGGCACTGCGCGTGCGTCTTCTGTTCTTTTCGACTTGTGGAAACCATACTTGTGTGGGTTCCCAACGCGCTGTGAGTGTAAATGAGCTGGAGCCATAGTGAGGCGGCCGGATGGTTGGTGATAGTGGCTCTTTTGCGCAATGCGTAGTGGTGTGGGTGTCGTGGGCGTTGTCGGAGTGTAGCTTTTGACTGTCTGGTTGAGTTGCAATCCAAGGCTCGCATTGAAGTCTTGAGCCCTCAGGGTGGTGATGTAGAGCCACAAAGCTATTGTACGCCGAGCTATACGATGATCCTCTCACGTCCTCCGTTTTCACCATGGTGAGAATGACCTCAATAGGCAGTGGTGGACGTGAGAGACAAACGAGAGATTTGCCCCATTGTGCGACGACGTAGCAGTAAAAGTGTGATGTTACCCAGGGAGAAAGGGTTTGTATCCCTGTAAGGACCTTCTAAACGCGCGTGTTGATCGACTGCTTCCATGGTTCACAGTAGCGGCTGGGGGGTGGTGACTTGCTCTTCGGGTAATCAGGTAGGCGCTATCGCCGAAAGCGGGCCCGGGCATCGTCGGCAGCGCCGTGCCTACCGCCGCGAAATAAAACGCGCATCACAAGCGAGAAACGTGATTATGAGAGCGCAGCATGAGAGGGAGGAAGCAGGAAGAAAACCGCAAGGCAGCTGATATTGGAGGTCAGGTTGGGGTTAGTAAGCGGGGGTGGCGGGCCCTGGCCCGGGGACAGCAGGCGCAATTCACATGGCGGCTGCATGAGTGGACTGCAGGCCAGCTACGAACCAGCGCTAGCCTTCACAATGTATGTAATGCACGATTTTCGCCCCACAAGATCTTCGGTTCAGTGGTGTGTTTCACATTTTTGCTTTTCTAAGATGTGAGACGAAGCTGTTAATTGCTTGTCCATCTCGGGGAGCAAAGACACGGAAGTGCCCTCGCATCCGTAAGTTGCTAGACAAGCTTCCAGGCCACTGACACTTCGCAGAACATCGCCCAATCCTTATACCCTCACCTTCCGATTATAGACACACTCGGTGTATGGGATGCAGCTAAAACGGTTCACAGCCTTCACAAAGAGAACACCCTTGCCATAATGAGGTCCAATCCACCGCCGTATCCAAGAAGATCAGTGACGATCACGCGCGCTGCCATTCTGAGAAGCTGATGAAGAGCTCTCCTTGATCCACGACCAAGTCTCGTCCATGTCTACAGGATCCGAATGAACTGAGTCAGCGGACTTGCTCTTAGACTTCTTGGGGTTGATAGCACGCGGGGTCGAAGAGATAGCTCTCGTATTCTTGGAAGCCGGTATGCGACAGTATCGAGAAGCATGTTCCCTGGCAGCTCGAGCTACTTCTTGTGCGTCCTTGACGACCTGTCTGGCTCTGTAAAGCTCGTCTCTAGCGGCCCGCGCGGCTTTCTGGATACGCTTCTTCTCTCTGGCGTCGCGTCGCTGCCTACGGGTGAGTCTGGCATACTCATCGGCTGGCGTAGTGACTGGACGTGAAGACTGCGGAACGTTGACAGCAGGAGGAAGCATGGTTGTGACTGCGCAAGGTGAGTGCAAGATCGCTGCAGATTCGAGGGGGTTTACCTGGAGCATTTGGACGCTCTGAGCCGATGAGTGGAACGCTAGAGACGCCAACAAGTTGACCATAGCCATGAAGCCTATTGTGCTGCCTCGAAGACGGTACGGTAGGTTCGTTGCCGCCAGTCCTTGTCTCGACAGTGCTGAGCGTGGCGACCGAACCGCAAGCCATGATGCCGACAGCCCGTCGCCGATACTTCCGGAATGATGTTTCCTGCGTGCAAGGTGAGGTGGATTGGAGTAACAGAGAGAATTAAGTGTGACTGTAGTGTGAGAACTCAGTTTGGCTTTGTGGGTTGGACAAAAGTGAGCGTGGAGCCCGTTATTGCCAAGGCAACGACTTAGCGCGCACCTCCTCACCGTCTTAGCGAATGGTTGCTTGTCCTTACCGTATCTAGAAACTGGAAGCAGTCAAAATAGCATAGATGAGAAGGGCGGGGATATCATGAGAGATGCTCGTCCTGGAAGATATTAGCACGCTTTCACTGTGATAACTATGTAGAGTGCTGTGCCTGTGAGAGCACTGCGAAAAGACAGAGAACCTTCGAAAATCAATAGAACTGTGTGGATATGTAGATTAAGGCATCTACATGCTATGTACATAAGCTATGCATTGCCGCAAAAGGAGGGAAAATTAGAAGAAACTACATCATCACTAATGCTAAGAGTCATGACCGCCAATATGGATGCGCTCATCTCACCAATCAGAGTTCCCGTCATCTTCAGAGGCATCTTCTCCCATATCGCTTTCGTCATCCTTGACAACATTGTCTGCACCCATGTTTCCCGTCCGGCCAACCATACGCATCTCCGCCGGAGTGAGAATCCGCCTGTTCGAAGCCGGAGTGTTTCCCACCTCACTCTCATCCGCTTCGTTATCTTCTTCTTCCTCGCTATCTAGGGCGTCCTTGGAGTTATATGAGCCACCGAAGCGCTGACCGCGAGGAGACGATCGTGTGCTAACCTTGGCCTTCTTGGTGCGCTTCTTGGGGCCGGCATAAGCCTCAGAGTCAGAATCAGAGTCGAGCGCTTCAGGCAGCACCTCTTTGTTAAGGCATGATGACGACCGAGTCCTTGGTGATCGACGGGCAGGCGTCCTTGGCGACGTCTTCTTGCTTCGCTTGGACTTTTGCTTGGTTGATGTGTCTTCGTCGTCTTTGTTGGAAGTACGCTTGCGTTTCGATGAGTTACGGGTGCGCGGCGTGAGTTCATCTTCGTCCGACGTGTCATCTTTCATGACGTTCTTACGCCTCGAACCCTTCTTGGTGGCAGTGACTGGCTCGTCGTCGTCAATGTCCAAAGCATCAAAATCGAAGTTATCTAGATCTGCTTCAGACTCCTCTTCAGATTCTCCATCCAGTAGCTCTTCTTCATCCGAGTCAACCACGAAGTCCTTCGGCTGTTTCATGAGGCGCCCATTCCTATCACGCTGTCGTGCACCGGCTCGCTTCGCATTGTTCCGCTTCTTTTCGGAAGTGTGTCTCCGAATTGCAGCATCGTCGTGATGGTGTGGGTGCACAGTAGAAGCACCCCCGAGGTGAGCAACCAGGTTCTGGAAATCTTGAGGATATAGCCAGCTCGAATCGTTATTCTTCACGCAATATTGCACACATCGTGTAAGATCTAGCGCATCATGCCCTGACGGCATAATCTTGACACCGTTTGCCATATCGCGAAACGGAATGCTAGGAGGTGGTTGAGTCGCCGCTACAGTCCTTTCACGGGAATTGAAGTTGTAAGGTGGATCAAAGCCTGCTACGTTGACACTGGTTGGATCAAATCCAGCGGGTCTCGGTAAATTCGTATGTTTGGCAACTGTCCAGTTCTCGTAAGTCGGTTCGGTCTTCTCGCGATGAACCATTGGTCCTTTCATCATCCGATATATCGTATTGTTTGTAATCGGACCGTACGGCATGTCTCGGTAATGGTTAATCATGTCTGCGAAGGTCCCAGATAGGGCGCCATTGTGGAGAAAACGGTCCATGATGTCGAAGGATTTGATGGCATGCGGAATGAAAGCAAGTGTTTCTGCCAAAGTTAGGTTGCCATGGGGAAGATCTAGCCAAGCCGAAGGCGCATCCTTCAGTTTATCATAGTATGGGGTACCTGGGCCAGTGGATTTCCTTCCTTCGGAAATCGGTTTCCTTTTGACAATCTTACTGGAAGCAATGTCTTGGTGAGCGACAGGAATTGGGATTTCGTTTCCATTTCCAATGAAGGCAGGTTGTTCATCTGGATAATTTTGGTTGTCTTCTTCGTCACTTTCAGGCTGATCAAAGAGATGAGCTACAGCGTACCCATCGTGGATTGCAACCTCAGCGTGTAGTGGATACCACTGGAGGTCTGCCGGGATATTTTCTTCTTCCCTGTATTCTACTGCAATCATGGGGTCGATAACGCGATCATTGAAGGCGGTTCTCGCCTTCCCAAGGCGGTGTTTGTTGTGGCCATCGATGATCTTGCACTCCTCATGCATTGATTGATGAAGCACCTTCATTTGATCAATACCCCGGGAGTTGCATTCCATCAGGCTCTCTTGATGCTGTGTTTGAAGCAGTTCGCGCACGTCTGGGAGGTTCGCGAAGAGATGGCCGGCATTTAATTGTGCTCGGTCGAGCATATCCTGGACTTCGTCCCGCGTGAATGTGATTGGAGACATGGTTTCAATGCAGCCTGAGTATAGGGTAAAACAGTTGCTTTGGCTGGTCAGGGGTGAGACAGTTGAGTTGTGCTCACTGAAGTTGAGATTCGTGGGATAATATCAAATCGAAAGAAGGGGAGTTTACCGTGGAGGAGTGAAAGTTCAGCACCTGCTTGCCAGTATTGTTTTCACTCGCCGTTATGTGTACTAAAGACACTGTGTATACAACAGGAGGACCGCACGTCTAGAGGAGTGTGTGGAGGCCGAGGCGACAAGGAAACAAAGACGTCGAGTCGAACATTGTTCGACTCTTTGTTTCAATGCTCGTAAGAAGATTCAAGACAGACTGATTCTGGTGATGCGACGAATGCGACCTGATAACCGACATTGCACAGACTCAAGATATACATCCCGGCCTGTCGATTGCTTCTCATCATCGTGTAGCATGAAGCAAAATCTCCGGCGCCAACGATGTAGACGTTTTGACGTGAGGTTCTGGCTCTTGAGCTGTGTTTCCAATGTAACAACCTTAATGACAGACATTACTGCACTTTAATCATCTGCTGGTAAAGTCGATACTTGAATGTCTGCGGACGACTTTAGATTGCTGGATGGCAAATGTTTCTGCAAGCTCTGGATGTAGCATACGGTGGCCGTATTGGTTGGCAAACAGTTGGCCTCAAGAAAACAATAGTTGCAGTTCTCCATGGCATTCGTATCCTGGTCGATGCTGCAGTCGCTGATGTGATGTGATGCGATGCGATGATTGGGGTCACGGATGGGGTCGGCAGCCGCAGCACTTGAGGCCAATCCGTCGGGGAAGCCGCTTATCCGGTTCCGCACTAGCGCCGCTTCCGTCCGGAGATTATTCCAAGGTTCTTCACTCTATCCGCGGCTTCCCCTCATTTCCTTGCGGCATCCGGGTCGGTGCATTACAGTACGACCAGTTCGCAGGGTCGTTCGGTACAATGATTGCCTGAAGATGCTCAGATCCCACTATATTGTTCCTGGCCCTGCCATCGTCGCACTTGGGCAATTTGCGGAGGACATCCATAGAGCCCGCCTGAGCAGCAACTCCGCCCAGCCTGCTGCGCCGCAACCTATGCATGTAGACACAACGCGACAGAACCTGCTCGGCTTACCTCCACCGAAATAACGTATTTACTCACGAACAAAGTAAGCCCGCAGATGACGTTGCTACCCCTCGCCCAGGAATGCCATGGCAGGTCTAGTGCAGAACTGGCAGGTCAAGGCCACCACATCTTGGGGAAACGTCCCGATTACACTTCATCCATGATTAACCGGGCTCTTGGGCAACATCAACCATGTCACCGTGCGCACGTTGAGCTGCCAATGTCCATGGTCAGGGCTTGGAAGAACACGCTTTGTGCTTATCATGGTGCCAGCAAACTAAAATGCGCCCAGGTGAGGAAGATGGTCAGCTATATAAGGCCCATCTTCTACAATCTTGAATACCTCACGCTCGTCAATTGATCGCTTCCGTGGCGGAACAACATCATGAAGTTCGTACTCAGCCTTGCCTGGCTATCCCTCGTTGCAGGTGCGACTATCCGCAGTCCACAGCCTCGTACATATGATGGGTACCAAGTCCATCGCGTCCGAGCTACTGGATCCCAATATGCTGCAGCAAAGCGAGCTCTTGCTGCTGTTCCTCACGAAACTCTAAACGAGATTCGTGGAAACCTGGATGTTCTTATTGCACCCGAGCAGTTGGACGCCTTCAAGGCTTTGGGGCTCAAGTCCCGAACCTTGCATGAGAATCTGGCCGATTCTATCGCCCGGGAGTCGCACGTCAAGAAGGCCTGGAAGAGGCAAACCAACGGTTCAGAAGATGCGTGGTTTGATAGCTACCACCCGTATGAAGACGTAGGTGATGTATCACTGCGATTCGATCCAAAGCTGACTGACCATTGTTAGCACATTACGTGGTGGCGCGATCTCCAGGAATCCTTCCCAGACAATTCGAACTGGACGAGCACTGGAACATCTTTTGAGGGGCGCGACATGTTCGGCGTTCATCTCTATGGAAAAGACGGTCCAGGAAAGCCTGCGGTCATCTATCACGGAACTGTTCACGCTCGTGAATGGATCACTGCAATGACCATTGAGTATATCGCCAAGGCCCTCACCTACGAATACAAGGCAGGCAACAACTACACGCAAGCCATTCTGGATAACTACGACATCTACATGTTCCCCTTTGTCAACCCCGATGGTATGTCCCATCACCAAAGATAGATCCACTGGTTGTTGCTAATCCATGCTAGGCTTCGTCTTTTCTCAGACAGACGACCGCCTATGGCGCAAGAACCGTATGCCGCCACCAGAGAACGCTGCCAACCAGACCTGCTATGGTCGCGATGTGAACCGCAACTGGGAGACGTAAGCGAAGTTTCTGCCCTATGCGTATGGCACATACTGACATGTAATAACAGAAACTGGGATGCTGACCCACGCGGAGCTTCGACAGACCCATGCTCGCAAACATACAGGGGAGAAGCGCCCCGCGACACGCCTGAGAATTTGGGCATGGACAACCTGATCCGCAAGATCCGCGATGAGCAAGGCATTAAGCTGTACATTGACTGGCACAGCTACTCCCAGCTGATCCTGTACCCATTCGGCCACAAGGAGACTCTCTATGCACCAGAGCTCGGTATGTGGACCAAGGCCGCTGCCCTGATGAGCGAAAACATTGCCTACTACTCGACCAATGCGACTACCTACACCTACGGCCCTAGTGGAGCAACCTTGTACCCGACAACCGGTGCGTCTATCGACCATGTGTACACCATTGGTCGCGCCAAGTTCTCCATGACCATCGAACTGCCCGACACCGGTGACTTTGGCTTTGTATTGCCTCCGGAGAGGATCAGGCCTGCGGCTGAAGAACAGTGGGTGGGCCAACAGGTACTGCTCAGCCTATTGGATGAGGAATTCTTCGATGGCGAAGGCCCAGCTATTGGCGCATTGGGCACTACATGGTAGACACATGTAGGTGTTAGCTCAGCTTTGTTCTATTGCAGTTGGTACAAAGCGCTGTCTGTCAACATTGACTCGTAATAGCAAATCAAGATGGCATTGTCGTCTGTCAAGTCTACATTCGTCTTTATTTCAAAATCCTCTGCTCACATCTTGATATACTATCGCACACTCTATTCCATGCAATCTCCCAAACGACTGGAAGAGCGTTTTTCCTCTCATGCCTTGTCGCCGTCACCTCCATTTCCACGCGGCTAGCGCTCACAACGACGCGTCCGTGCGCAAGAAGTGAAGGTAAAGCCAGCATCTCTCGTCATCCTCATCTTCCCCATTCGGCATATTGATATCATCGCTCTTATCACCACTCCTCGTCCTCACTACAACGCTAATCGAGAGCTTTTGACTTGAATGCGCCCAGCATGCTTTCTTCCACCGATCCGCACTTTACTACTGCAAGTACGCAATCGCCAAAAGCCATGGGACATACTTGGCGTACGCCCTCTCCCACCAGGGAGGCCTATATCAGCTCCAGTGAGTTTATCTGCTTGATTGATCGGGCGCGAGCCGGACACTAACACGTAGACAGGCAACGTCAACTCGCCGCAGGTTGTACCTGAAGCTCACGATGATCTCTCCGACGAGTATTCAAGCTACCAGCAACGCATTGAAAGCCGCGCTTCTGGTACTGCGGCGGTGGAGACTGCAAAGCATAATCGACGACGCGACGCAGCATTGTCACGCCTCTACAACGTGTTCGACGGCAAGAGTGACTCCGGCGACCAGAAGCCATACAGTCAGACTGTTAGCGCCAACAGCGAGGACAGAGGTGTAGGGCAGCTTGAGCAGCCATCCACGCCCAAGAAGAACCGCGTTCCGCTCCTTTGGCATGGACTACCATCCCCAGAAACGCCGACGTTTCACAACTATACACGAGCTATCCCTTCAGCTAGCTCTGCGCAAGAGGAGCTATCATGGCAGACTTCCCTCGAGGAGGCCAAGAACGACGTTAAAACTGCCCTAGTGACGGCAAATCACACTACCAACACGTTTTCGGTACCGGCGCAGTCTCCTGTTGACGAAGACAATGCGAACGATGACGGGTTAGAGCCTATAATCTCCCAGACTCCCAAGGATGATACCGGGGCTGATGCGAGACTGGCTCGCGAACTTGAAGAGTCTCTGAACCCGACGGCCACACGTCGCAGTACCAGACTGCGCACACAGCCCAAGCCATCATGTAAGTACTGCTTTCCTAGTGATATCAGTGCATTTGCTAACCGCTTTCCTTCATTCAAGACAGTATTCAAGTACCACTCGCGGCGCCCAAGACTCTTCGCAAATTGTTGCCCGCGACGAAACCAACGGAGTCTTCGGCACATCCAGAGTTCAGCTTCAGCACTGAGCCTATCAAGGCCGACCCTGTACCCTTCAATGGACTGCCCACTGTTCACTCGCTGTCATAGCAGCTGCAATATCCGCCCGGAGGCAGCACACATCCGTCATACCCATATCCTTCTATGGACCCACGCCTTCTCTTTCATCAGGCCTTCGTCCCGATCATCGGCGGCTTGCCAGATTTCACCCTGGTCCAGAAGCTCGTGCTCCCTATGGGGTGGAAGCATGTCTCATGGTCTGGTCTCCTGCCCATCGCCTTCGACCCGTATCGTCAAGCGTTCAAGCTTACACCGGTTGGGCCAATGCCGCTTACGTGCGAAGAACTCCATCAACAAGGTCTCCACAAGTATGTACCAGGTGGCGAGCTGCACCCCGAGTATGGCATGTTGCCCGAAATGCTTAAGCTCAGCGATGGTAGTGACGCCGACATCTTCAACTTCGATGGAGCTGATTGGACATTGCCGTGGAAGGGTCAGATCGACTCCCACGCCCCCTCTAATGCTACAAACGAGCAGCTCGGCAGCTATGAGCTTTCCAGCCCCATCGACTCTGACACCCTCGCGCCCGTTGTCACTTACCCATGGAGCGAAGCCCGGGATTGCCCGGACAAGGTTTTCGACATCTGCGATGCTTGGCGATGGCTATCATGCAAAGAGACCAAGCCTGAGGTGGACTTTATTCCCACGCCTGGTATGAACTGGCGAGGGACTGGCGCAATGCGCTCACAACGTAGACTCAAGTCACCCATTCCCGAGCTGATGATGCTTGCCATGCCGGACCCGACTACATCGGAGAACAAGCATATTGTATTGCTTCAGAACCAAGATGATGGAGTCAAAGACAAGAACCAGTTTTGTCCATTCAAGAGTGTCGCGACATCCGTTATGGCCGACATAACCCTCCTTGAGGACACCGAGTTCACGATCATGGAGCTACTGTCGTACTTTCCTCAACACTACTACTGGGGTCATGCAGCTAAGCGATTGACAAGGGCGGGTGTGACTGGGACCCTGATACGGGATTTCCTTATCATGACGCGAGGGCTTCAGGGCGATGAGATTATGATGGCAAACAGTATTGCACAGGCAGCTAAGGTTGCCAAGAAGAGGGATTGCGTTAAGGTCGAAGAGATGGATATCGATGAAGTCGGGAAGGATACACCATCACCTACACCCGCTCCGGTCATCGATTCCACGGTTGTCGACTTGACTTCGAGCTATACTGCTGAAGGGTGGATCTACGATGTATGGGAGAAAATCGACTACCCGCTTCTTGCCCTCGCCCATGGCTTGCAGTCGTTGCCTACAGGTGTGGATGCCGGTCCGCTGACCGCACTCATACTTTGGTGCCGAGAGAAAGGTCGGTACAAAGCCATGCTTAGCGAAGTCCCTGCGCTGCTGAAGAAGGCAAACATTGAGCCGCTGATCGAGCCTGGCGAGAGTGGCTGTCCAGATAAAGAAGTCGCAGGCAGACATGCTGGGGCATTGAAGAAGGACAGACTAAGGGTGGTTAGAGATGCGGGTGTCAGCAAGAGGGCATTGGATGGTAGTGTTGGTGGCACTCAAGGAAAGAGAAGGAGGGCTGAGTAGTGTCACCGGGAACCTCATATGACAGCAAGATGTGCTGCGAAAGATTCGGGGATGGTAGGGCTTTGGGAGGTCTCTTGAGAGGTATATGCATAAGTAAATTCCGTGCATGATCGGCGAGGCGCGATACGTATGGCAATCGACTTAGTCGCTTCCCTACCAATAACCAATCGATAATTTTGAACACCTCTTTACATCGCTGTCTAGTGCATCGGAATGCCCGGCAGCGGCCCAAGTCCACACTACACCTCGTCAGCAAACCTCCTTCCCCTCTAGCAGCATACTTACAGCAGGCGCCGGCGACGGGCATCCACCATTGGAGCTCATGTAGCAGCCCATCTCAGCAGCATGCTTCATCAGGCACTTCTCATTCGTGCTGAGTAAGTTCATCGGCACAATCGGCATAGCGCATTTGCATGGCTCTTTAAACGTCGGTGTCGGTTCTTTGTGCCTGTGGCTATGCGTGCGGTTGTGCTTACGCATTCCGCTGGGTGAAGGGGCGATGCTGGCTTGTGGTGCAGCCCAAGGGTAAGGTGTTGCAAGAGCGGCAGTCGCGAAGAGAATGGTCGTGAGAAGCGTCGATATGTACATCGCTGGTGGTCTGAAGGCGTGGTATGCGTTGAAGCGTGTTGGGTATGAGGTGCTGTAAGGTGCAGACAGCCAAGCGTCTGGGATTCTTTGCAGGCGATCTGAATCTTGTAGGAACCGTGGGCGCCACGCGGCAGAGGGCTTCTTCTACCGAAAACTCGCGATCCAGTACGCGGCGCAATATGGGTTGATGAAGTTCCATCTAATCATGCAGCGCCATCGTCCAGTGATGCGCCGCCGGCTAAACACCCATATTTGGAAACGGAAGTGTGAAAGCGGCGATAAACAATGAATACTTCTTGTTGCTCTTTTACTTCGAGTGTCTATGCAGGTGCAAATACTTGAACGCCGAGGATCTAACGGATGTCTTGTTTCGCTTGATACTTGCCGGCGTTCTCGGAGAGGAATGATCGATTCAGTATATTCTGGATTCGCTAGTCGTGATGCCTCCCTGTACTCACTAAGTTGCTACCGTCTCTTCTTTATTGCCATTGTTTTCTCGTCAGCTTCAAGCTCATCAGAGGCGAACTCCTGATCCTGACCATAGGACCTGAAGCCCGCATAACCAAAAGATGCGTCGGAGGCTACCCAACAAGCTGGTTCAGAGGGGTCAGAACGACCATGCCACTTCGAAGTATGGCGCTGTAACCCAGCACTTCCATCCCAGTTGGGAGTATGTGGAATTGTTGCGTGTGTATCGAAGGTCGCCCACTGTTTTCCGCGTTGCTGGCTCTGAGCGCAGTGTCGGAAGCTTGACGCGTCGCGAGAGCGCATGCCGCAATTTAGCGTGTTTTTGGCCCCTCTAGCCTCCAGCCATCTCATTTGGAGCATCCACTTCGCGGCCAGAACGCGCCCTCGTAGTCGGAATTGACAAAGTTTCTGCACGTGCCGTGCTTTTGGTACTGGCGATGAGAGACCAATTTCACAGTTCCAGCTCCAAGATCGAAGACGTCATTCAGCAGGCGGGCCCGCAGATCCCACTTGCGCGGGCAACCGCACTGGAATACATGCTTTAGATGTCACGACTGGTCCATCGTACTCAAAATAACGATGCTGTAACGGCATGGGTGATTAAAAGCAGTTACTACAATACATGCATACCTAAAAAAGAGGGAAACTGCCAATTCGAACTTACCACTCCCCATCAATTCAGCGTCGACTCGAGATTTTTCATCTCTCGTTGCAACCTCCCGTCATCCCTCAGATAGGTAAGTACATACACATCCTTTGCTGGGGGAGATATTCCCGCCACCTGTGGGCTTGCCTCGAATTGAGCCTGTGTAAATATCTCAGTCGTAGAATCAGAGATGCAAGTAATGCGGTCGCCTGGGCCGCGAACACTCGCAATGTAGTGTCCGCCTGCGGTCTCTGTTCCTTCGCCAGAGTGGGAGATGACACTAGATAGCCGGTAGCGGAGGGGAAGATGGGCATTCTCTTGATATTGAGTTAGGTCGAGTATGTTGGGGTGAGCCATGCGGTGGTTGATCTTGTGTTCTGTAGCAGGCTGCGGATTGCCGTTTTTGTCTTTCTTTTCTGCCTTTTTCATTTGGAAGATGGCGAGTTTGATCTTAAGGATTTGAGGGCCAGCTTGAATACTGGTCGTGACCAGATGGATAGTATCAGCTACACATATGGCACAGTGAAACGTTCTACGCTCTTGGAAGAATCTAGACAACGCTGCGTTGAAAGTTGTTGTGGCCGTGGGCACATTTAGAAGGATGCCTGTTTCTGGAATCCGCGCAATGAGTCTTTCGTGACCACATGTTATACATCGGCCGTTCTCTTGTCTGTCGAGCTGGAATAGTGCGCGGAAGTCTTCTTCCCATTCTTGCGTCCTGGAACTGGTGAGTATGCATGTCAATAGTGTACACATGGGCGTTTACTCACTCACTGGCGACTTGCAAGCGTTGCAGAATCACCTGATAAAAGTCGTTAGAGTCCAGCTGAACTAGATCCTGGCCGTTGGCGGCCAACTGCGCGACATCCCCAGCCAATGCGATTCCTTGTATTCTTGGTATGTTGGGGGCGACTGTGGCGTTGGGAGTGTTAGCCCAATAAGTGTTGACCAGCTCTCTCATCATGCATCCAGTACAATCTGGCACCGCATTACCGGCAGCTGCTCCCCAATACAGTGGAGGATTTGCATGACAGGCATTACGTATGTTACTGCCACCAGTGCCTCGTCTGACCGGGCGATTATGGTTTTGGAGCCAGTTCAGTAACTGGGGCTGATGCATCAAGGCCTGGAGCGCGGCGTTGATGTAGCACCAGTTGGTACCAGTTGTGAAGCCTCTGCTTCTCTGTGGCCTAGCACGCCCACGTATAAGCCATCTCTTACTTATACGTGCAGCCTAAGAGATGATCAGTAAGAACAATCAAGCTCGGGGACGAACATACTATGCGGTCCCGATTCTCCTGCAAGTCCGAACGAAGGCTAACACGCGCGTTAGCTGGAGTACCGGTTATAGCCGCCGGGATACGGGCGCTTCGTCGACTGCCCGCTGGGGCTCTATATACCCTAGGAGTGGCCATCTTGGATGTGAAATTTCTGTAAGAATATCTGAATTGACCCGAGGTTTGGAAAAGAAGACGATAGTGTTCACAAAGTACTGGCATCGATGACGGGAAACTGCGAGTTTAAAAGCCACAAGATGACCGCCACAAAGGAACAATGGATGGGACGTCAACCGCCATTGTCCTCTTGCCATCGTTTGACATGCACCCAAAGAAAGGCGGAAGCGGACACGATGAACGCGATGTGACATGCCCTGTAGTTGCCGCAAGTCTGAAGTTGTCGCATCCGGTAGAATGGAGATAAGGACATAGCCCAGATTTCGATAACTTGAGTAGCATACACACAGCCTTCGTGAAGATTCATGCTAAGAAAAGCAATCAGAACGCTCAAAGCCTTAGGCTACAACATCTTGAGCAGAAAATGTCGTAGTTTGATGAGCGAGGCCGTCTCTTAATCAGGGCGGAGAAAGAAAAGGGGTGCATGCGATGCAAGCTTCAGCATCATCGCGTTCTGGGATAGGTGCTTGCTATTTTGCCAGACATAGTGGTCATTTTTCGATATCTGCCAGGTAGTTTAAAAGTTGTCTCAACGCTGAGCCTTCACACGAGACGTTTTCATGACATCGTGAGAGTTTGTCAGTGTAGAGCACGAAAGACGGAGCGCTCAAGACGCACACTCGCATATCCAAATAGCGTCTTGGCACCCCCTCCACCCCCCATTGGCCGTTTCCCCATCCACCACCACACGACGCACATCAGCACTCCCTGCAGTCACAACTCCACTCACCCACCGATGCAATAACCACCATGGCAACCTCAGAGACCCAAGGCGCATCTTATGAAGCCGAGCACGTACACTCTGTCTATGAAGAAATTGCATCCCACTTTTCTTCCACTCGCTACAAGGTGTGCGTCCACCCGTCACAAATATTCCAAAACCGCATGCACGACTAACGCGAATGCTAGCCCTGGCCCATAGTCGAGCGTTTCCTGAAAGAACAACATGATGGCGCTATAGGCGCAGATGTCGGATGTGGAAATGGGAAGTATTTGGCTGTCAATAAGAAAGTGTGGATTGTGGGTAGTGATCGGTATGTTCTATTTTATTGTTCACTAGATTGACTATCCTACGACTCGTCATGGCTTTTGTGCTTAAAAGTTAACGTCGATACAGATCTACAAACCTTGTCAAAATCGCGAAACAACATGAACCGCACGATGTGGTCGTAGCAGACAACCTCTCTCTGCCTCATCCAGATGGGGTTTTTGATTTTGCTATTTCGATAGCGGTCATCCATCATTTGTCCACGCCGGCACGGAGAGTAGAAGCTGTGAAGTGTGTTTTGGATTTACTGCGGCCTTCGTCACCGTCGAACCAAGGTGGAGGTGCTGGACTGGAGGGTGGCAGAGCACTGATCTATGTCTGGGCACTTGAACAGAAAGACAGTAGAAGAGGCTGGGACGAGGGTCACGAGCAGGACGTCATGGTGCCGTGGGTCTTGAAGCGGAAGAAAGAGAAGGAGAAGGGGCGGAAGAAGAAGAAGGATGAGAGTCAGGCTGACGAGGAAGAGGCGTCGAAGCCGGACGGCGATAAGACGTTCTTGAGATACTATCATTTGTATCGGAAAGGGGAGCTTGAGGGGGACATTGAGCAGGCTGGTGGGGTTGTGTTGGAGTCGGGATATGAGAAGGATAATTGGTGGGCTATTGCGAGACTCAGATGAGTATCTCGGTAAATATTTACTTGTGCTATACCTCATACGTGAACGTGTAGCACATATTAATGTGGTCTACTGCTTGCAGCCTGGTGCGTTCCAACTGCGCATGGTGACCTTACGCCTTCGTCAAGTCTACAGGCAGGGCGTGACTGCTCTCAGTCAGCGGAAAGAGCTGATAGTAGAAGCCCAGAGCGCCTGCTACAAGCACAATATAGTAGGCCACGGTCCATCCAACACCCCTGCCCCGATACAGTGGGACGCTCTTCTGCTCATCGTCCTTCTTGTCAACGTCTGGCGGTCCGATGGGACTGCCGGCTTCGACACCCACACGGCCGTAGAACCGCGGAAGGCCCATCCAGTTGCAAAAGGTATGCGCTACCATGCACGTGTAGACATTTCCGGTTCTTATGAAGACAAAGGCTGCGAAGAAACCGAAGAGCGACGTGTATGTGAACTGGAAGAGTGAGCGGAGCACGGCAACGAAGAGCGAGACTTCAGAGTGGGTTATGCGGAACTCGTAGAGGTGGTGGAGATGCGCGATGCCGAAATACAGTGGCGTGAGGAAGACGATCTGCTTGCCGGAGAACTGCGCGAGGACATGGAGGGGGATGATTAACGAGCGCCACACGACTTCTTCACTAACGGGGCCCTGGGCAGGTTAGAATAGGAAGAGGTGGACTGGAGTAGACGACCTACGACTATGTAGTTCCTGTATCCGATCCAGCTGCTCAGGGTCTCGTGGACGCCCTTTAGTTTGACCCAGTCTCTCCAGTCGCCATCTACAATGCCATGCTCGAAGATGGGACCCGCGAAGAGGATAGTCACCAGAAGCATGGTCCGGATGGTATCTACAAGTGAAACAGGCCAGATGCCAAGCAAACGGATGATCTCCATGGCCGATGCGTCATGTTGGTACAGTACGACGATGGTGAGGACGGAGCATAGGACGGTGGAAAAGGTCACTGCGCGCACCCGGGCGCGTATCGACGACGGCGCATCGCGCGTAAGAGTCGGAGAGGGTCGCGTGGCGGGCGACAGGTAGAAGGGGATTACGTAGATGAAGACATAGGCGGCCTGCAGGCGTGGGTGTTAGTTACCTCAGCATGTTTGGCGCGTGCGGTGCCATTGGGTGAGAACAATGGCAATGGTGGTGGGGAGCGAACTTGAAACGTACCGACAGAAGCGCCGCAACTCTCGACGAAAGAACAGGCGGTTTGGGAACTGGCACCACGTTAGAGCTCATGGCGATGTTTCGACAGGAAAGCGCAACAGAGTTCGTCCGATGTGGGTCGCGCAGGCGTTTAGGAGGTTTTGAGGTGGAGGAGCGCCGACTTACCGCCCTTGACATGGCGCTGGTACAAGTCTTCGAGCGCACTGAGCTTGTCGCGCCAGCCGTTGAGGGGTGGAGGCATGGCGAGGTGTTGCAAAAAAGCAGCCGCACGTCAAACGCGCTACAGAAGAGGCAGGAAAAGAATCATGGGCGTTGTTTATAGGTGCACAAGACCCCCCCGCGTTGTCGCGCGCATCTTGTTGGCGCAGCGCAGCCTTTCACCATCGATACCCCGCCAAGCCCCATCGGACACGCTGGATCACGTGCTCCGATCGTCCGTTCCCTCGTCTCGGCTCCTGCGACTCGCGCCATCAGCGCCCACGACGTCTTAGCACGCCCTCCCGCGTTACCCCTGCAGCACGCACAACCAAAGGCCCACTGGCCAGCCTCTCTGCCATTCAACGGCTAGTCCGCCACGCTGCGCGTCGTCACTGGCCCGTCCCAAAATATAATTTCATTTTAAACGTTCAACCGCGACGCGCTTCTCCCGATTGACTAGGAAGGCTGTTCGACGAGGGTTCCCCAGGCGCGTCGCAGTGATCGCACTCACAGGTGGACCGCGCATCCAGCAGCTCATATCATCTTGTCGACCGGTATAGGCTAGACGAAAGTCATATTGTGCGAATTGGGTCCATCTCTGTACAAGTCATCATAAGTCGCGGGTCGTGCTCCAGACTGGCCGGGGCTGAGCTGTCAATTGGATCGCTCCTGCAGCGCGAACCTGCTTCTGCATACAGCCACGAACCCTCTTTAGGCCGAGCTGCTGCCAGACGCCCGCCGTCCTCACCTCACCACCACTCCTCGTCCTCCCTCCCTCCATTCCTCATACTGTTAATGCCTGCGGGCCGTCATTCTTTTTGATATGTTTTAGCACTTTTGTCACTCTTTGACTATCTTCACATACTGTCTTTACGTCCTATTTTTACTGTCTTTTTACCCACGCCCCGTCATTAATGATCGGTTTCGACTTCTCCGCCCGCGTTTACCACCAGTCCACATTTCGGCATCCTCGGCCCACACCACCACCACAGCATGTCTTCACAACAACGCAACAGTCGCGCAGACTCACAAAACGCACTCGAAAAAACACTCGCACAAGGTCCTCGATTTGACCCGCCGCAGTCGCAGTCAACAAACACGTCTCCTATCCGCAAGCCGCTTCACGAACGCTCAAACTCGCAAACTAACCGCGACTCTGGGTCAACCATCCGCATTGTTCAAGATCCCGGACATGACATCTATCAGAAATATCCCGTACCCAGCGAACCCTCGCAAATCCTGCCCCCACCCCGTCATGCGCCGGGTTATGGCTTTGAAAGGCCGGGATCTCGTGTTTCAAATAGCAGCCAGGTCGCCAATACCATCGCAAAGTTCGAGGCGAGCCGAGCGCGAACACCACAGCCTATCCTGTCACGGAAGAAGGGTTTCAGACATTCGGGCTCCACTAGCATGTCAGAGGAAGATACCCTCGTAGCATCCTCTTTTACGCCATCGTCTTTAAGATTTTCCCAGGGGAGCACTGCCCCATCCTCACCCCCACCGGAATTAGAAGATGAACCAAAAGGCCTCGAGGTACTTGAGGAGGTCGTCTCCTCGCAATCTACAAGGCCAACTATCCGGGCTGTTCCTCCCTCTTCTTCTGGTGGAGATTCCGACCGTGCATTAACGCCCAAGGCCTCTGCTGCATCTTTTGCTTCACCTGCTCCCACCACCACACCACGCCCAATTAGTAATGCCGGAAACTCGTCAAGTGTCAGTTTCGGTCGACCGTTACCAGAAGTTCCCCAAGGCCCAGCGGCAACCGAACGTCAAGCTAGGGGGCCTGCTCTCACTTGTGACACTGACTATCGACAACCTGTATTGCATCCTCAACAAAGTACAGAGTCGTTCACGTTTTCTGATATTTCCTACACCAGCATCGAACCAACACATACACTAGCTTCATCGCAACCATCGCCATCTCTTCATGAAGCCAGCACAGCATCCTTCGCGAGCGGAATCCGAATTAATTACCCCGTCGTACGCGCGCCGTCCGGCACTAGCTCGCGAGCCGAATCCCAGGACGCGCCCAACATCGCATCCCGGATGCACGACCCGTCGCTGGTACATCACTGGAGCTCCCAGCTGTCAACAATCGCCTCCGTCTCCGAACGCGACTCGCGATCCCTCGCACGAAACTCCCGGTCGCTCGGCGCCAGATCACATTCACAAGAAAGCTATGCGGGCAACGGTCGAACAGCGATTCCACGCCGGAGGGGACAGACAATTGGGAGTGCACAGTCGTCGTCGGACAATGTATCGTCGGAAGGTCATACCGAGTTTTCTGCAGTGCCAGTGCCGCGGCCGCTCTTCTCTCCTACCACACGATCTTCGTCGGACGACAACAGTGAACACATGGACACGATCTCGCCGCTGCCTACATCGATCCCTCTGCGCATGAAGAACTCGGGGTACTTGCGCAACAGAGCCAATAGTACCGATGCAGTATCGATGAGCGACGAGCGACCTGGATCTTCTCAGTCGCATATGTCCAGATTCATTGCAGACAACATTCCAGCCTGGGCAAGGGTTTACTACCAAAAGGGAGAACGCATCTCAGTTGGAGCCCCGGAATCCGAGTCTTCTGAGAGCGTACGGCTGGGAACCGCCCACAGCGGACGATCGCGCACCCCTTCAGAGAGCAACTTCCCGCTCAGCATTTACCGACCACGGAACCGACCGAGGAACAATTCAAGGAACCGCGCTTCACATGCCGATACTGTCTCGCTAGCAGACGACGTTCACTCGATTGACGGAGCAGTATACGCAGTCGGGCCTCACATGTACCCGCTCAGCGGTTACTCAACACCGCACCTCCGGACCGATCGGAGAGGACAATTGTACAGCGCTTGGAACGCACCATCACTGGACGATGACGTTCATGCCACACTCTTCGGGCGCCAAAACAGACAGATCCTGCTCTTCTGTATAGGATTTCTGTTCCCACCTGGTAAGTCTTGACCCACGAGATACCACCGTATGAATGAAGACATGTACTGATCAGAAACACAGCTTGGATAATTGCCGCGTTCCTTCCTCTTCCCCTCGACCCGAACGCTGTTGGTACCCCAACTGCCAGCCAGGCCGACTTGGAACAGCAATTCGCCCGAGCGATGGGGCCCGCCGACGACAAGTCCTTCCAGAAAGCAACCTGGTGGCGCAACCTCAACCGTGTCATGTCCGGAGTTGGCACGCTTCTGATCGGTGTCATCGTTGCGCTGGCCATTCTCGCATCGCGCATGTAATGAGTGACACCCACTCTACAGTCCAGCGAACCTCTCCGACCGTCCTCTCCAGGCCGAATCTCACAATTTACAACCGACATTTGCACGCGATGCATTTGCATAACGAACCATTTACGATCATAATCATGCCATCACGCAAGTGTTAATGTTTTTCTGGCTCCGGCACACGACATGAACGCTCTCCTCGATATCTACTTCGATCTCGTTTTGGGTCTACTGTCCAGGCGCAGCCGCTATTGTACATTTTTCACTTTTCGATTCTCCACGCGTATCGTGTACGGCATGCTGCAGTTTAGCGGGCGTTCTCTTTTTGCTGCTTGTTCTAGTGTGACCGAAAGCGTATTACCCATTTGCTTTGCTCAGTTTGGCGCCATCAGCCACTTTACAATACTATTATCTTCATGTTCCATACCTGCCGCCTGGCACCTGTCAGTTCGTCTTGGAAGTTTGATGTGAGGCAAGGGTGCCTGTCGCGGTGGCTGGGGATCTGAAGCATAGCGGCCAACCGTGCGCTGCTCCTGGATAATCTCGCTGTGGTTCGAGCTTGACGAACTATATGATCTTGTAATTATAGTCATGCGTGCTACGTCAACTGTACGATGAGACATCAATATAACGATTACCTTCTCTATGCTATCGCGTCTTCCATTGATCATCGCAAGGTTGAACCTGAGGAGTTGGGCGCTTCACTGCGATCAGCCGGAAGACTACGGGAGTATTATGACATGTGTCATGTGGAGCTTCACACCATGCACTTGAGCAAAGCCGGTGCTCTGATCAGGTATCGACCACACCGATGGACTTGAGTCGCCTTTGAGTAATCCTCCGAAAGTCTATCACAAGGTTTCGTGGTCGTTGCTAAGCAATGCGTCCGGTTGCCATGATGCTGCAAGTCGGGCGAGGCTACATAATGGGCGAGTGCACAGCCATATGGCAAAGTGAAGGGATGTGGCTTGCTTCACGATCATGGACGTGCGATCCCAGTGACACGTCGAAAGCGCGCACGGTGACTGGTATGAGTCGCATCACGTCGAGATGAACATCGCATCTCATCTCATCTGACGCAGTCGCCAAGTGGTGACTCTTCGCTTCCAGTCACAGCCGTTCCAGCGCGAACGTCCAGATGCAGTGGCGAAGGGACGCGGTGGGCCTCCCAGATATGCAGGGTTCGGTTCACTCAAGATGAGTCGAAGGCGCTAGGCCCAATCCAGTAGCGGGGCTTATGATGTCGCTCTTTACAAAATAGTCCCGCCTTCACAGTTTCTGCAGACTTCACTCACAAGCTCACTAACCACGTACTAAAGACCCTTCTTTTTATTCTCCACTCCCCACAGAGCCTCACACACACACTCGACGTTCAACTCAATCATCATGGCTGTCCGCGCCCAGTTCGAAAACTCAAACGAAGTCGGTGTCTTCGCTACCCTCACCAACGCGTACGCGATCGTCGCAGTCGGCGCGAGCGAGAACTTTTACAGGTGCGCATAGCTCTATAGTTCTTCGCGGGTTGTTATAGTATGACGACATGCTATGCGACCGTGGCCAGCAAACCTGCGAGAAATTAGTACTGACGGTGGCGCAACAGTGTTTTCGAAGCCGAACTCCAAGATGTCATTCCCATCTGCCACGCCACCATTGCCGGAACCAGGATCATCGGCAGACTGACCGCTGGGTACGTTCAAAGTCATGCGATAGCTTGCGCTACGCGACACACGCCCTAAGACAAAACCTAACAAGTGCACAGTAACAAGAAAGGCCTCCTCGTCCCCACCACAACCACAGACCAAGAACTCCAGCATCTCCGAAATTCCATACCCGACGAAGTCAAGATCCAGAGGATAGAAGAGCGACTATCAGCCCTCGGCAACGTAATATGTTGCAACGACCACGTCGCTCTCGTACACCCAGATATAGAACGCGAAACAGAGGAGATCATAGCCGATGTGCTGGGCGTGGAGGTGTTCAGGCAAACCATCGCGGACAACGTGCTCACAGGAAGCTACATGGCTCTGAGCAATCAGGGTGGTATCGTGCACCCAAAGACAAGCATTCAGGATCAAGACGAGCTGTCGAGTTTGCTCCAAGTGCCGCTTGTAGCTGGTAGTGTGAACCGCGGTAGCGCTGTCGTTGGTGCGGGTATGGTCGTCAATGACTGGATGGCTGTCACTGGTACGTACAGAATTTTCAGAATGTCAAGACGAGCATGGACTAATTTGAATATCTAGGTCTTGATACCACAGCGACCGAGCTCTCCGTCGTCGAGTCTGTCTTCAGGCTCGGTGAGGGCAACGGCCCTTCCAACATCAACACTACGCACAAGGATGCTATGGTCGAGTCCTTCTACTAGATCATGGCTACTGGCCAGGATGCCGTATTTTACTCCACTCGCCATTAAGCCTAGTGCGCTGCTGAAAGAATCACGATTTGGCCCCGAGTTACAAAGTGATCGGAAGAGGCACTCGCCCTGTATAGGGTCGGGGTATCGGATATGATGTTATCACAGAAGAGCACAGGCTTAAAAATATCGTTACGTTGGTACCGGACTATCTGAGTAACTGGGTTTTCTCATGATAGGGTACTGCGTGCGACCGCACGTAGATTCAATGCAGATATGATAGAGAAACAATGCTAAGATTAGCGCCACGTTCTGTCCATTGAAGTGACCTCGTTCTGCTCCAACAAAGAAGATTTGAAATCATGCGGCTAACCGAGTGTCTTGTGTCACTGGTGTTGGTACTCATGCAGGTACCTTCACCCGCAACCCTGGGTAGGGCTGGAGGCGGTGGAGACTTTCTGCCAACGCTAAGACATCATCGTCCACGAAAGTCGCTTTGCGCCAACACTCTTTCACCAGCCCGCGTGGGTGCACAACACTTACGGAAACCTACCTCCCGCCGCTTAGTGGCATCCAAACCTCGCAGTCCCTTCAACCCGCCTTGATCTTCGGCTAGAAACCTCCAGTCGCCCTCCAAACTCGAACCCCACCCCGACCACATCATGTCCAACCCCAACTCAACAGCGCTCACGAAGCGTAGCGCCTCGAATGCGCTCATGCCACCGCCTCCCGCACCGAAACGCATAAAACGTCCCTCCGTAGTCCTAGATGAAGATACCTATGTTTCCGCCGTTTCGCACATCATTCGCCGCGACTTCTTCCCAGGGCTAGCGGAAGCCGACGCACAACGAGAGTACCTGAACGCGGTGGAGAGCAAAGATCGATCATGGATAAGAGAGGCTGGCAAGAAGCTCACACAGGTCATGACGCCCGTGCCGAGCGGGCAAAGAAAGACGGCAGCGAGAACGCGGTTCGACAGGGCAGGCGGCGCTGGCGACAAGACCCCAAGCGTATGGGGCGCGGACACGCCTGTCACAGTCGCTGGAACGGAGATTGAAGACGACGAAGAAGGCCTAGGCAAACTGGACAATGTCGACCTGAACATGAGCCTAGGCGCATTCCAAGCAAAGTACACGAGCGAAGACCAGGAGAGTTTCAGTCAGATCATCGACAAGCAGAACAAGGCGCGATTCGACAAGAACGTCTGGCTCCGCGAAGGAAACATGTACGCGAGCAAACAGCGCATAGCACAACAGAAAGTCCTCGAAGCCCGCGCCGCCGCATCCGAAGGCAAGGAACTCGTCCTCAGCACAAAACCGAGCCAAAACCTCGACGAGCGACCCGCAGCGCCCACCGGCCACCGCCACACCGCCCTGAACAGCTTCATGTTCGGCCCAGACAGCGTAGAACAATGGGCACCAACCCGCGCCCAAGAAGCCGAAAACACATCCCTCGCGCCCCCAAAGAAAGTCCTCTACAACAACACGCGCCTCCCCGCGCCAGAAGCCGAGCCTCCTCGCCCGTCCAGCCCCACACTCTCCGCCGTCCGTGACGCCGTCGCAGGACGTCCGCGTCTCAATCCCAGCGAGGGAGGATACACAGGTAGCGAAACACCGCGAGTAAACGGCTACGCCTTCGTCGACGCGCAACCGCCTTCCCCTTCCTCAGACGACGACGACGCGCCAACCGACCTCCTAGAACGCTACGGTCTAGACAGCAGCAGCACAGCCACACCCTTCACCATCAACGACTCCTCCTCGCGCGAGAAGATGCATCACAGAATGGTCGACAAGATTGGTGCGAAACGGTCGAATCCACATACTCAGGCGAAGCCAACGGGATCGGGCTTGGGCATTTTTACGAGCGAGACACCGAGGTTTTTGAGTGCGCCGACGCCTAGGAGGGGCGGGGCGGCTGCTGCTGCTGTTGGGGGCATGACGCCAGGGAGGAAGGCGAAGGGCGATTTGACACCGGCTGCTCAGAGGCTATTTGAGAGGATGGGTGGGGCGACGCCGAGGGGAGGGGGGAGCGCTGGATTTGGTGGCGAGGGGAGAGGGTCGGGGCTGGGGAGGGAGTGGACGCCTACGCCTAGGGTGAAGAGAAGGGCGTAGAGTGGAGGGACGGATTTGTGCGAAGTGCTCGTGCAGATATCGTGGGCGGGATGTAGTGTAGTATTAGTGATACCCAATTTTTACATATACCTTCTCTCAAATGAAGCATATATATCTTCAAGTTAACATCAGCAAGCCAGTCATGAGCAAATCACATAATGAAAGATGACGAAACCATGCATGTAACCAGTTAAATAAACCTTTCTACCTAAACAACGCACCCACACGCAAGATCCTGCGCAAACCGCCCAGGGTATCCAATTGGAAAAGATGCTACAAACAAGGAGGGGGCTATGCAAAAGAGAAAAACACATGTATAACAAGATAGTACAACGCCAATGCAGCTAAGAAACATGCAAATGCCCGTTTATCCAAGAAAAAACAAGAGGTTCCTCGCTGTATGCAACCCTTTTCCCTGTACAAAATGGACAGAAAAGAGAAGGAGAAGGTAAGGAAAGATGAGACTAGTAGCGAAGGGCATGTGGGATCGTAATGTACAATTAGTGGTGGGTCATTCAGCCGCCTCTCCTCCGCTGTTCTCCGGGACCTTGGTA